CTCTTCCTCGGCGCCGCGGCCCCTGGTCCTGCGCGCTGATTCCCTGGCCGACGCCCGGGGCCTGGGCCCCGGCTGCGCCGCCGACGCATGGCCCGGAACCGGCCCCGCGGGGGGGGCGGGGCCCCGCCGACGCCCGCCGCGCCCCGCCCCCCCCCGCCCCCCCCCCCACCCTTTTCCCCCTCGAGCCCTTCCCCCACCCACTCACCGCCCCTCCCTCAACAACACCCAGGCCCCGTCAAGGACGAGATCTTCGTGGACATCGTGGAGCGGCTGACGGCTACCTTTGACGCCACGGGGCGCCAGAAGTCGAGCTCCATCACTGGCGCGGTGCAGATCAAGTCTTACCTGTCTGGCAACCCGCCCATCCAGCTGGGCCTGAACGAGGACCTGATCATCCGCGGGCGAGAGGGCGGCCCTGCCTCCCACGCCTCCTCCGACGCGGTGGTGCTGGAGACCTGCTCCCTGCACCAGGCGGTGGACCCGCGCCGCCTGGACACCGACCGCGTCCTGGAGCTGGTGCCCCCCAACGGGCACTTTGCGGCCATGAACTACCGGTGCGTGTGTGGGGTGGGGGCTGGGGGAGGCGATCGTGCAGTGTGGGGCAATCACGGGGGCTGGCGTGCACCTGGGCCTCCATGGGTTCTGGGAGAGGGCCGTGGCACAGCATCGGTCCCCACACGCGACCCACCTCTGCCGCGCCAGGTCGACGCGCAGCTTCCGGCCGCCCTTCCGGGTCTACCCGCTCATGGAGGACGATGCGGTGGCCCCCGACAAGCTGACGCTGTATGTGCGGCTGCGGGCGGAGTTCCCGCCGAGCAAGACGGCCACTGGCGTGGAGCTCAGGCTGCCCCTGCCGCGCAGCGTCCAGCGTGTGCACGTCGAGACGGGTGCGGGTTTGGGAGGGGAGGTTGGTGGGGAGGGGAGGAGGGAGCCCGGTGCTGGGCGCGGGGATCGGGGGGGGCGCGCGGGGGTTGGGCGAGGAAGCGATTGCTCCGATGTGCGCCTCAGATGGTCAGAGCACGCCCATGCACTCACATCACCGCGCGGTCCCCTTCCAACAAACCAGACGGGGCGCGGCCTGCCACGCTGGGGCTGCCGAGCAAGACCCACTTTGCGCAGGGGGCGGAGTGGGTGGAGCGGGACAGGGTGCTCGTCTGGAACCTGAAGCACCTGCGTGGCAGCCAGGAGCACACGCTGAGGGTGGGTGCGGTGCTGCTGGCTGGAGTGTAAGGGGAAGGGATTGGCGATGTGGCATGCGGCTGTGGATGTCAGGGACGATGAGGCTACGGCATTATGGGCATGCACTGCGCGGTGAAGACGCAGGGGGGCCCTGCCCGGCTGCAGCTGATGATTTACTGCCCCTGTCAGCCGCTTCTCGGTTCTTAAACAACACGCCGCACTCAACCCATCATAACCCCATGTTCCTCCTACACAAGGCTCGCCTGACGGTGGATGCGGGGAGCGTGGAGGCTGTGAAACGCGATTATGGCCCCATCACTGTGCAGTTTGTCCTCCCAGGAAAGCCTTCAGGTGAGGTGGAGATGGTGGGAGGGAGGGGGACCCCAAATCAACACAATTGCTGGGCATGGCGTAGACTCTGTTGCCAGGCAAAGCCTTTGCCGAGTTTCCACACCAACTTGGGGCCGCGAGGCGATGCTGGCGCAAGCGATGCCCTGGTTTCAAAGCACCCCGAGACACCCTGGCTTTCCACCCTATCCCTCCCAGCATCGGGGCTGGATGTCCGGTACATGAAGATCCTGAAGCAAGAGAAAAACTACAACCCAGCCCGCTGGTTCAGGGTGGTGGCAGTCGCCAACTCATACCAGATCAGGCCGCACTGGTTGTGAATGGGGCGAGTGGCACGCCCTGGTGGTCGGGCCGCTCGCATGCCAGCGCGTTCGACCTTGCCAGACTGTGACAGTGTGTTGCAGAGTGGGAAGCAGGAGGGAGGAAAGCAAGCAGTCAAGGACTACACAATGTTACTGACAAGGGAGGGAGACTATACACTGCATAGAATCCCGGATCCCTTGTGCAAGGGAACAAGCTGATGTGGGTGGGTGGGCAGCAGAATACACGCCGTGCGGACATGCACACGGCATCACATGGCCCTGCCCATGGTCTAGGCTGTTGCTTCTTGGGGCTCAAAAGTCTGCTCTCCATCCTCCTGTGCCTCGGCATCATCCATGATGCCCTCCACATGCTCTGGATGCTTCTGGAGGCATTCCTGCGTGGAGGAATCCTCGGTCTTTTAAATGGAGCGTCCCGGGAGGCTTTCGATAAGGAGTGCGTTGAAACCGCCCACAAGGAACACTCCACTTCGTTCGTGCACGCGCCTGGAAGGCCTTGAACTGGGGTATGCAGTCCATGCCCTTGTCAGGGTGCTCGCTCTTGATGAAGCAGCGGAAGGCACCTGAGAAACTGGTCCCACATGGTCCTTCCCTCAAATCAGCTGCAGTGATTGCAATGGAAATCCATTGCAGTGACGGGAATTTGACCCACTCTGTTAGTAAAGGCTGGGGCGATCCGTCTTGAGGTTGGAATGGCCAGGCCATTCCCCCCCCTCCTCACCAACACAGGGACACTGCAGGGCCTCGTCGATGCGCGCATCTATGTCATCCCCTTCCAGGCTGCCGCCCATGGCCTCCGCCGCCATGTCCTGGAACGACATGCTAGATGTCTGATGCAAAGTAGTGGGTCCTGTGTCCTGAGTGGAGGGCGCCAGGCGAGCCTTCTTCGACCCAGCAGACACACTGCGGTGGGCTCGCAGGGCAAGGCTTCAGGCAGGTCTTGTTAAATGCAATATTATAACTCCTCCCAGAACCTGATTCCTGATCCAATTGGGGGTGCTCCACCTTCGCGTCTGGCCTCGAGCGCAGGTGGATGCCAGGTCAGCATCCTCATGCTGTGTCTGGCTTGCAAACCTGTTCTCTCCACACTATGCCGACCAAGTTGCCCCACAGTATTTATGTGAAAACAACTCGCGAGAACACACGGAGCAGTCCCCGATCTTCTCACATTGCATACTCTACACCACACAATCTCTCCTCAGATTGTAACCACTGCGGCGCCGTGCCGAAGCTATTCGAGTTTTCAGAACCGCTTACAGCATGGACGACCTGGTGACTGCCGGGAGTTCGGGGAGGGCCGCCGCCATTGAGCCCTTTCAATTCATAGCACTGTCGCCATGGACCGCGTGGATGACTTCCTGCAAGGTGATGGCCATACGTTCGGGGCACTTCTTCTTCGGCCCCCTCATCGCCCCACCAAGATCCAAACTCAAAATGAATCTCGAGGGGTCCCCGCTTTGAGACCGCTCCCATTCTATTCGCCTCTCGCACCTCCCAAGCTCTACATCATACACATGACTGGATGCAAGCCAATTACTGCGTGGGTGCCCATGGGTTGGGCATGCCTGGGTGGGTGACGAGACGTTGCCAGCCAGCGTGAGGAGCAGACCAGCCTGGCACACCGCCACTTTGACAAGACCGACTGCAGGGAACCCTTTGCCATCAAGCAGGGAAGGTGGGTTTCTAAGAAGAGCAGCGTTTGCTCTCGTGGCATTGAGGAACCAGGCCATGGCATATCACCTTGCAGTGGCTCCACTCGTCTCTCTGGGCGGAAGCTTTCATGGAGAGTGTGCTGGACAACGACGCTCCCTTCCCCAATGCAAACATGTGGGGAGAGGTCCAAGGAGCTGCGCCAAGTGAACGAGGCATGGATCCGAGTACTCCTGTGTGGACGATGGCATGGCCTTCCTCCGGGACTTCCCTGTTCTGCACCAGGACTATATGATCACCACCCACGGCTCTCAAAGGTTGCTCGTTGCGCTTGCTCAGCACAATACGCTGGTCCTGAGCAACCACAATAAGCAGCTTACGGGACGTCCTGGGGGGTGATCGTAAAGTCCCTGTACAGATCTGGGTAGTCTTTAAGGAACGTCTTGCTGTCGGCCACACAGGTGTAATCGAACGAATGTGTGCCTGCTTCACACAGCGCAGCTCCTTGAACCGCTCCACAGATGTTTGGATTGGAAACTGCAGAGTTGGTATCCAGCAAACTCTCCACAAGAGCTGTTGCCCACCAAGACGAGCATGGGCAGTCCAAGGTGTCATTGACATGCCCTGGGTGGCTCATGTCATGGTAAAAGGCGATGCTTTTCTTGTAGTCCTGCCTAAGCTGCTTGATTGTGGGCTTGTGCTTGCAGCCGGTCTTCTGAAAGCAAAGGCGAGACATGCTGGTCTGCCCCTCACGCTGGCTGGCGTCGCCTCTCTCCACCCATTCAGGTTCGCCTTGCCCATAGGAATTACGCGCAGTACTCGGTCGAAACCCAGTCCTGTGTGTAGCAAAGAGCTTGGAGTGAGTGCACCGGAAGGGGACGGAAGGGATTGGAGCATCCGGGATGGTTTTCAATTTCAAAGTGTTTGGAGGAAATAGGTTCTGTCTAGAGGATGCGGTGAAGCTGCAGCCTTCGCTCTAGAGGAAGTCGTGTACGCGCTGTGTGGAGACGTTTGCCTGCGTTACGAGGGTTCCATTGCAGCGACCGCGAATTGTGGCCTCGGTGGGAACCGTGTCGCCTCGGCGAACGAGCCCTCGGGAGGCTGAACAGCATGGGGCACTTTCCGCATTGTCCACCGGCTAAGATACGGTATCTGAATGTCAACAAGGTACTCGAGGACTTCCCGGCAATCTGTTTGTGAGTTTTCGCAAGTCTATACCCGAAGAGAGCCGGCAGTCCTCCAGGGTAAGCCACCCAGCCGCCCACAATCCCAGTCCAGGCCTCATTCACAATGCATGTCAGGTCAGGTCAAGGCGTCGTTTGCCATGAGGATGCGCATCGGGCACGCACAGAGGGCAGGGCAGGCGGGTGGCTGCGCCACGGAGCGCTACCTCCTCCCGTCCAATTTGCCATACGGCGTCCAGTGTAGCCTGGAGACGTCGATGTCTATCGTCTTCTGGTTGGCGATGGAGCGCATGTGCTCCTCTATTATTTTCTGGGTCACGCTGATGATGTGGTCTCCCTTCCAGTACTGCGAGGATTGAGATTCAGGGTGGAAGGGGGTGTGGTACCTAGCCAGTTGAAACGATGCAGCCTCATCAGGACTGGTGCTCGCCAGTTTGCACGGCGACATGCACCATCCCTCTGCCCGCTCCCCGACCGAGTCCGTGCAGAATTCTCTCCCAACCCTCTGCCACTTTCTTCCCGGCCTCCCTCGTTCCTCCATCCAGACACCGTGCCACTTCCGCCATTCTTTCCGTTACCCGCCCCCCCTCCCAACCCCCCCCCCCAAAAATCGACTCACACACCTTGATCAGACTCAGGCTCTCGAGCGTCTTCACGACATCGTCGGTGCGGATGGCGGTGGCCTCGCTGATGTCCTTGATGCTCATGGCAGAGCGGTGATCTCGCAGCGCCTCCAGGATGGCCCGCATCCAGTACGAGCGGTATGACACGGCGCCCAGGTCGGAGAGCGGCCGCTCCGGGCTGCCCAGCCGGCCCTCCTTCTTGCTCAGCTCGTAGGAGAAGGCGATGAGGAAGCGGCCATACCCCTTGCGCTGATGCGCGGGGAGGGTGAGGATGCACGCCAGGTTGTTCCCCTCCGCCGAGTCCTTCTCCTTGCTGAAGTAGCCTACGACGTGGCTGCCGTGCGCATCGCGCTCGCAGAGCACGTAGAAGAGGAAGGGGTCGACGTCGTAGTACAGCGTCTTGTGGTCTAGGAACAGCTTGCTGAGCAGGCACAGGTTCTGGCAGTACACCTTGGCCTTCTTCCCGTCCACCTCGTACATGGAGAGGGGGGGGGACGCGATCGCGCCGCCCACACGGCCCGGGTCCGACGCCGGCGGCGGCGGCGAGCGGTAGATCTCGTCTCCGGGCGGCGCGCGCAGGGGGGTCTTGGCCAGGTGGCGCAGCAGCGTGCGCCGCTTGCGGAAGTACTTCAGCGTGTACTCGCAGATGTACAGCCGCTCGCAGGACGCGTGCGGCTCGGGGTAGGGGCTGTAGTACCAGGTGTCCATCTGGTACCGCCCCAGCTCGATGCTCTGCACGTTCTTAACCTTGGTCTTCTCCTGGTGCTCCTTCTCCGCGTGCTGGTCCAGAGGGGGCAGCTCCTCCACCCCGGGGCCCACATGGTGCATCTCCGCAAACTGGCGCTTCAGGCGCCGCGTCATCTTCTGGTCCCCTGTCAGGCCCGCCAGCAGGTCCGACGCCGGCGCGGTGCTGGCGCGGGACAGACCCTCCCCGCTGCCCACGCTGTGCAGGCCGGAGATGCGGGAAGCAGGCACCCACTCGTCCAGCCGCTTGTCAACTGGGGGGGGGGGGCGGAGGAGTAAGAGAAAGGTGTGGGGAAGTGCAAGCCGAGGAAAGGAGGGCAGTGCCCAGGCATGCACGGCTATCCTCCACACACCAGAGCACGCTAGACAAAAGGCAGAGGGAGAATCTGAACAGTCCATTCCCCGCCGCTCACACTCTGTGTAGTGGACATAGTAGTGGAGGCCACCTGCCTTGTCCAGCTTGCGCTCCACTATCTCTGCCGGGTCTGTGGTGCAGGGGTGGGTTCCGGTGATGCGAGGGCGCATCCAGAAAGGGGGCCCAAGCGAGGGACTACCACCTCGTGCACCCTCATCCCAATACCCCCAACCTCGTCGCCACTAGACCCCACCAACTCACGATGCACGCCGTCTACTGTAGCCTCACATGATACACGCGTCCCGATGCCATACCCCTGCTCGGGAGAGGTTTCGAGAATGTTCACCGCAGGGCGCTGCGCAGGGGCAGGTCGTGGAAAATTCGCGTGCACGATCTGCATCCCCCCTCCTGGGCCCCGAACGCACCTCCTCCCGGCGTGCATCCAGTACTGCCGGCTCAGACCGTGCGTGCCGGCTCTGCACCATGCCTGGCGAGCTCTAGGGCCGCGACGTCTCCTCCACTGCTTCACGTCATGAGCGCGGGCAGTTTCGCAGCCCGTGACACGACAGCGGCGGTCGACTTGCGGTGGATATTATGTGCACCCCAAGTGATCTGATCTGTCTTCAAGCCATCTCCCCGCTGCTGCCTGTGGGCAGGATCTACGAGCGGAGTTGAGAGCGGGGATTTGGCACTCGAATGCTAATTGGAAAGGGGGGCACGAGTTTCTCTCAGTGGGCGGTGGAGGGGGCCAAGCGGTTGAGGGCACTCACGCCACAAGCCAACTCAAGCATGCTTGGTCTTTCCTGGGATGGCGTGGCGCCTGCTCTTGTAGACAGAGGAGGCGAGCAGGCCTCCGAACACCATGGCCACCGCCACCCATTGCTGCCCCAGAAGGGGGTTGCCGCTCCACAGCACCGACAGCAGGATGTTGAAGAACTTGCGGGTGGTGGTGATGAGGGTGTTGATCAGGCTACCGAATCGCCGGATGGTGTGGAAGATGAAGAGCTGCCCCACGGCGCCGCAGAGGCAGAAGAGCAAGACGTCGCGGCCCGCCTGGCATGGGGGAGGGCTTCGGAGTGGGACATTCTAGATGTGGAGTGGGTGCTTGACACATCGCTTGACGGCAGATGCATCTCTGGCAAAAAGCACAAGCCATTGCACGACCAACCACCACAACGAGCTTGTCAGCGCCGACCCCTCAAGGGGTCCATCCAGCAGAACTTCAGAGGCAGTCATGCATCTGCACCCCTCCCGGGCAACCAGCGCAGGCACAACAGTAAAGGAGGCTTGCATCAAGGAAATTGGGTGCCATTGCCTGCATGATTTCCGCCAGCCCACCTCTGGGTACTGGATGCAGAATGCCAGCAGCTCCCGCCCCGTGTTGGTCAGGCCAAAGAGGAAGGGGACATAGAAGAGGCCGCACCAGAAGTTCATCCAGCACATCATGTGCAGCGCAGACCCGCCCTCATGCTTCCGATGGATCTCATCCTGCAGGAAATTGTGCCAGGGTGTCGGTAAGAATGGTGGCTGCCAGGCAGCTGCTGCCCCCGGGTGGCATGCTGTCAGTCTTAGGCCCACTCAGAAGGCTGACAACTACACCCAGGCTAGGAGGCGGGGTAGCGATTGTGGGCAGACTTATTCCTGGGCTCCCCACCTGGGCTGCGTTGGTGTACCCGTCCAGGGTCAGGTTGACAAAGCAGAGGAAGTAGCCCAGGGGGGCGTTGGGATGCGCCAGCTTGCTGGTGACCTTTGTGGATGAGCGCAGGGCGAAGAGGGAGATGCCGGCTGCATGTGTGGAGAGGGGGAAGGAGAGAGGATGGACGGTATGGTCTTCGGGCATGGATGTGGGGGTTGGCACCCACTGCCCCAGCCGCACTGCCTGGCGGCCCCTTTCCAAAGGGTCGATGTCTGCACCCCCTCCCAGCATCCCTGCGCACCTGAGATGAGGGAGCAGCAGGTGTACTCCACGACAGAGTAGGACTTTCCGTGCAGTACGGTGCCGACCAGCATGACAGGGATCATCTTGGAGGACTTGGCAAGCACTTGGGCGGGGTAGGAGATGTACTTGAGGGCCTGCATTCCGCAGGCCGGCCCGATGCTGTTGGACACCGCAGGCTTCCAGTAGGCAGTGATGGGCGGCATCTTTGAATGGCTGCGGGGTGCAGAAGAGTCCACAGACGAAATTCAGGGGTGGAACAGCAGGGGTGCCCGTGCATCTATGCAAACAGGGGCCGGCACCAGGGGTACAGCAGCGACCCTTCAAGTTCCACACCCTCTCCAACACACCCACCCCTTCTCAAAGATCTTGAGGAGCACGTACGCCCACACGAAGCATGCCCAGCTCTGGACACCGTTGAGGGCGGGGAGGTGCGTGAAGCGCTTCAGCTCCGGGCCAAACCGCTTGGTGGACAGGGTCTCCTGCATAACCCCTTGGGTTAGGTAGGCACCGTAAATGCCGCCCACGCAACATAGCAGATTCACCGCCAACAAGATCCGGTCCGCAATGGAGTTTGGGTGCTGTTTTGGCATTGTGCGGTGCGTCGGCCTTCAAGGGAAGCCTGGAGGCCACGCCTGGTGAACAGGCTCCGGCACCCGCAGGGACGCACGACGGTGCAGTGCAGGCGGCAATGCTCGGCACCACTCAAGCTTTTGCCAATGGTGATAGTGTCGTGGGACTGCTGAAGGTTCAGGTTACAGGGTGCCCCCCACCCCCGATCCAAGCAGATCGAATGTGAAGGTGGCAACCCCCCGGGCGCGCGCCGGGGTGGTTTGGCTGCTTTGGCTGGGGGGGGCGTGGCAACCAGGGCGCTGGGAGACCCCGTCATAACACCCGGCGTCGCAGCAACTACCGCCGAAACAGTCCGTTACAGGACCGTTGCCCCCACTCATCCATTCAAACACCCAAAGACCTGCCATGACGGACCAAGAGACTGCCCCCCCCGCACCATCAGTGCCCGCCCGGCCGCGGCTGAACCTGAAGCCGAGGGATCCAGAGGCCGTGGCCAGGATGGAGGCTGAGAGACAGGCTTCAATTGGGAAGGTAAGATGTGTGGCGATCACACTGCTTTGTCGTGGCTCATCGAGGCCGCAGCCACCACCTCGCTTGCACGGTGACTGCTGGAGCTCACGACCCATCCCTGCTCGCGCGCAGAGCCCCTTCGGCAACGCAAAACCCCGAGAGGCCGTGATTGCTGGCCGCGTGGGGAAGACCGAGGAGGAGGTGCTCAGGGAGGAGGTCAAGTCCACCTACAAATTGCATGTACGCTTGCTGCCTTGGTTTCGGCTGGGATGCTGGAGCGTCCGGGGGTCTTCGTCGCAGAGCCGGGGTCCCACACAGAGCTGGGTGCCCGCGGCAGGAATGCTGGGGGGCCCAAGCAGCAGCTCTCTCAAGTCTCTGCAGTTCGTAATCTTTCCCATGGGGCCAAACCATCGACTCCCCCTGCACCCTCTCCTCCTCAGCTGCGCCTGAGTCCCAGCCAGCTGGACGAGAAGAAGGCCCAGGAGGCTGTGATTAGGCAGGCAGAGGAGACCGCCGAGGCCGAGGAGGATGCCGAGAAGAAGGCGGAGCTCAACAGCGAGGTGGCCGTGCAGAAGGAGAAGTTGGCGGAGCTCCTGGGCGGCTTTGAGGTGTGTGTCGCGTGGGCTGTGCCGCCAGTGTGTGTCCTGCGACCGAATCGTGGGGCGTGGGGGCTGGCAGGCATCTTGTCATCCGTGCACGCTTCCCTCCGTCCCGCCCTGCCGTGCATGGGGCCTCCTCGACCTCACGCGCGGCCCTCAGTGATCCCACCCCACCTCCCGACCCACCCACTTCCCCTCCAACTCCCCCCTTGGACCCCCCCCCCCCCACCACACAGAAACTGGCCCTTGAGACAGCCATGTCTGGCTCGGGGCCGCGCATGTCCAGCCTGCGCCGTGCTCAGGCGGAGGCCGCCGCCGCGGCGGGCCAGTACGACTCCGCCGCCGGCGGCAACCGCTACCACCCCACGCAGGGGTACGGCCCGCCCCCCGACGCGGTGGCCGGCGCCCCGCCCTCCCGCGGCTTCCCCAACGGGCAGTACGGCGCGGCGGGGCGTGCGCCCCCCCGCTCCCAGGGCTTTCCCGAGTACCAGCAGCAGGCGGGGCACGGGGCTCGGGGCGGGGAGTATCAGGAGGCCCGGCAGGGGCGCAGCCAGTACCAGGAGCCGCGCCAGCAGGGCGGCGCGGACGCGGCGACCAGCTTCCACCGCGCGCCCGGCGCGTTCGTCCCCGGCGAGGACTCAGACGCCGGGTTCTACGATACGCCCTCCAGCTTCGACCCGGCCGCCGTGGCGGGGGGGGGGCAGTCGCGCGGCGGCGGCAGCGGGTACCGGCAGGGCGGGAGCCAGGGCGGCGGGCGCAGGGAGGGCGGGCGGCAGGCGGGCGGCGGCTACCGCCAGGGGGGTGGCGGCTTTGGCGGCCCCAGGACCGACGGGTACTCGGGTGAGTGTGCGGGGAACGGGGTGGGGGGGGAGGGGGGGGGTGAAGGGCACCACCCAGGGATGAGATCATGGGCGGGACAATGAATGCAACCGTAAGGTGTGGCTGGGCGGTGGCCGTGTCTCCTGAATCTCACAGGGCGCCCCATCGCTGGGGCTTGAGGATGCCAGGGCCCTCCCCCGCGCCGGCGCACACTCTCACTCGAGCGCTGTGCACCGCCGACACAGGCTACACGCCCCCCGCGCTGTCGGGCAGGGGCGTGGGCGGGGAGATTAACTTCGAGGAGAGCTACGGCGCGGGCCAGGACCGCTTCTGAGCGGACTGGCAGTGCAGCTGAGTCGCAGCGGCGGTGTCCTTCCTTGCCTCCATGGCTGGGCGCGTGAGTGCAGGCTGGCCTTTTGGTCATGCCCTCTGGGTCCTTGGGCGACACAGACACACACCGGCCCCCCTCTGATGCGCTGCGACGCTGCTTACAAAAACGCATCTCGAAGGCCGCATGGTCGGCATCGTACAGATATATACAGGGGAGGTACAGCCAAGAATTGGGGGAGTAATGGGGGGGCCTTTCCACCAGCCACAAGCAGACCGGGACATGCCTCGGCGCCGCTTCCCAAGGCATGCCACACGTTCAGCATCAGCCAAAGACCCGGTCTGGAAAGAGGGAGGGGGCCAGGAGCGTCCAGCAGTAGAGCGCTGCCGCCACCCACTGCGTGACGATCTTGACCCACACCGATGTCCAGCCCACGTCCACGGCATCCTGTGAGTGGGGGGGGGAGGCATGGGTGTGAGTCGTGATCATGGCATACGTTTGAAAGCGGGGTTTGCAAGGGAAAGGGGACCCAGGATAGTGGAGGCTGGGGTGAAGGAGCCCAAGAGACAGCAGCAGCGGGGTCAGCGGCATGCGGGCGGAGGAAGGCTGAGGAAGGCGCGGGCCGGCTGGAGACATCGCAGTTTCTGTCTCGTCCAACCTCGCACATCACAGGCCCCCAGCAGAGCCTGGCTGAACCCACCGCGAGGCCGGCACGATGCCTTCTCGCACTGAGCACGAATTCATCCCCGATTCTCCTGACCTCCCACCCTCCCATCACCGCCATTCCACTCCCATCACCCACAAACAGCCACACCAATCCGCCACCCCCCGACCCCACTGAACACCCAGCCGCCGCATCACTCGCCTTGGGCTGGCCGGTCGCGCCCCAGCCCGTCATGAGCATGGCGATGTACATGGAGGCCAGCGCAAAGACGGCATAGAACTGGGCGTAGCAGTAGGGCACCGGCGCGTCCTCCTCCTGCGCGCGGGCCGGCAGCGCCGCGCCCTCCCCGGCGCCGCCGCGGTCCATGCCGCGCGGGGCGGCCGGCGCCACGCCATCGAGGCCCGCGGAGGTGAGCTCGGCATCGCCGGCGAGCAGCGGCTCGGCGCCCGCGCCATTTCCCCCGGCCCAGGCCCCTGCAAAGGTCTGCGTGTTGGACCCGGCGCGGAAGGCGGAGTAGACGACGGAGAGGAGCGTGAGCAGCATGCCCCCCGCCAGCGTGGCGCCGCTCGCCGCACCCAGGCGCGCGCCCAGGCCGTTGCAGGCGTAGTCGCGCGGCTCCGACTGCAGCGCGCTGTAGCCCATGTAGGACACGTACAGGCCGACGGCGGCGGCGGGGAAGAGGCTGCCCGCCTCCACCGCGGGGTGGAAGCTGGTCAGCGCCATGACCACCACCAGGACCAGGGTCAGGCTGATCAGGGTCAGGTTCAGGGAGCAGTCCTGGCTGGCGGGGGCGAAGAAGTGGAAGCAGAGGGCGGCCAGGGCTACGCAGCCACCCAGCGCGCCCAGCGTGGCGGCCAGCAGGCCGTACAGCCAGGTCTCATCCTCGTCCCCGGCCTCCACCCACGCGTCGTTCCAGGCCTGGGTCACGTCCACCACAATCACCATCTGGGTCAGCAGGAAGAGGGGGGAGCCGAAACGCGCGACCCAGGCTGCGGAGAGAAAGAAGCAGGGGGGGGGTGGGGGGCGTTGTTGGAGATCAGGGTAAATCACCAAAAGACTCTGGGCTGATCCATCCAACGAGGGGCATGGGAGACGGGTGGTCCTCGCAGAGCGAGACTGCCAGGGTGCAGGTTGACAGTGCAATGTCTGGTGTGATCAGAACCAGGCAAACGGAGGCAGGAGCAAGCCCGCCACCATCAGCCCAATGTTGACTCACAGTAGGCGTTGATGACGCTGGGAGGGAGAAGGAAGGGGAGGAGGATACACACCGTCCAGAGGGCAGCCTTGATGAGCCAGGAGCCGTGGTGGAGCTGGGTGTCGCGCCGATCGCTCGTGCGCTTCACCCCCATCATCACCAGCGCCAGGCTGCCGAAGAGGAGCTGGAAGGGAGGAGCAGGGTGAGGAGGCATTGTCAGACGTATTTTATAACCGTTACACTGGCTCAAAAGTATCCCTGACGGTAGCAAGGGGCTGGTGCACCGCAAGTGGCGCCAAGGAGACTAGGAATTTCCTCACCAGGTTCCCCAGGCTGATGCGGTACACGGCCTGGGCCCCGAACCACTCATCCGAAGGCATGGAGCCCTTGTTGAAGGACTTGACGATCCCTGCGAGCGGTGGGGGCATGGGGGTGCTCAGGGATTGGGACCTTGCCCCCCTTGGGCTTTGCCACGCGCAGCTCCTGCACCACCCTCCCCTCAACGCTTCTCCCCATCGTTCTCCTCGTACATGGGATCTTCATGAGCAGGGGCTTGGCAAAGTCGCGCAGGATCCATGCCAGGATCATGGACAGCGTGAAGAGGAAGCTCCAGGCCAGCCTCGCGCTCCGCACCATGGCCTCCCTCGACGCGCAGGTGCACACCGTGCAAGCGCATGCCGCGGCAGTGCTGGCTACGCAGGAGCTCAGCGATCCGATGAGGAACATGAGGCGCAGAGTCCCGTTCCGCGACGCCTGCAGAGGCGACCCCTCGAGACCAAGGGAGGGGAGGGACTCTCCGCTTTGACTACCGAGGTATGGTGCTCAAGTCGGTGTCGCTTCGTAGCACTAAACCTTGTTCTCAGACGTAGGCTGTGGAACTCGACTCCAAGAAACTCCCGCTTCAAGCCCCAATCGTTCCGAGCGGGCCTATGCCCTTCGTGGCGGGACCCTGATGGAGAGGACTTGACACCCCCTCGACTCTTTCATTCGGAGTGTACATCAGGAATCGGCGGGTGTGGCACAGGCGGCACAGGCTGCACAGCCCCAGCATCAAAAGATTGCGCTACTAAAAATCGAAGGCGAGCGGGGGGGGTCTCTTCTCGCGCCCATCCCAGATCAGGGGGTAAACTTCGTGGCGAAGGCCCAGGCGTTGTTTGCGCCGGGGTCGGCAAGGTGGTCGTTCAGGTTCTGGATGGGGCCCTTCCCCGTTACGATGGCCTGGATGAAGAAGCCAAACATGGAGAACATGGCCAGCCGCCCGTTCTTGATCTCCTTCACCTTCAGCTCCGCAAAGGAGTCGGGGTCGTCGGCCAGGCCCAGGGGGTCGAAGGACTCGCCGGGGTAGACGGGGTCCAGACCCTCGCCAGCGGGCCCGCCGTTCACGCGGTAGCCCTCCACCGCGCCCATGAGCAGCACCTGGACCGCCAGGGTGGCGATGATGGACCGGGCGTTGATCAGGCCGGGGACGCCCAGGTACTGGAGGCCGTCGGGGGAGAAGATCTGGGCGCCGGCCTTGAACCAGGGGACGTGGTTGGTGCCGTCCAGGAGCTCGGGGACGACGCAGCCCAGCGCGCCCAGCAGGGCCCAGCGGGCGTGGATCACCTCGATCTCGCGGTAGCGGGCAAAGGTCTCGGGGTCGGCGGACAGACCTGCCGTATCCCAGCCGTAGTCGCCTGCGGCGTGTGCGTGTGCGTGTGCGTGTGGGGGGGGGGGTGTGGAGGGTCACAGGTCTGGAAGACGGGCGACTGGTGCAGGGGCCCATGGTGTTGATCAGGTCTGAGGACAGGGTGCAGGGTGGATTGAGCGCTGGCATGATGCCCAAGGGAAACCAAAACACATGTCATCCCGGCACTCGGTATGCATGAATGTTACCATGTGTCATGATCTGCCCCAGCTGCAAAAATCCGGCAATGCGGTTGAGATAAGGCCACCATACTCTATGACCCCTCCCAACAGCACCCAGCTGTAGTCCTTGGCCAAGCAGTTCATTTACCCAGCAATGTATTCCACAAACGCACCGGCGTGCTCTCCCGTCAGGTAGGAGGGGGTCGCGCCATCGCTGAAGGGGCCTGTGCGCGGAGAGAAGAAAGGACGGAAATCAGGTGATGCGACATGAACATCCATGCCAGATCAGCACAGCTTCCGAATCCGTATTGATTCGACCCTCGACTGGCCCGAGAGCGGCCCGGCCTGCATCTTGAGGTACCCATGGGCCGATGATAGCTCACCGAGGAACTTGGGGCGGTCGGGGCCGTACCAGGTGGATCCCAGGTTGGAGCCACCCTTGACGCTGGACACGGCCTTCTTGGCCTGCTTGGTCGCGGTCTTCTTCACATTCTTGAGGGTCTGGCGAGTGCTCTTCGCCGTGATCGTCTGCACGATGGGGAGGATTGGAAGCGTGGGTATCAGGTTGGAGAGCAGTTGGGTCCTCCTTGAAAACCCCACTGCACCGCAGCCTGTGCTGCGCCTTACCAGGCTGGACTGACAGGTGATGGTCTGCATGGTGCCTAAAATGGTGGTTCGCGGTCCTGTAGGGGTTGAGATACGAATGAAATGCGGGGTTTCAGGCAAGTGCGGCCCGGGTTGTCCTCGTGATCCTTTCGGATCCAGTGTATCCTTTACGCGCTTTCTTTCCCGGGATCTCTCCTTGTCTTTGCAATCCACCGCACAATCAGTCAAATCAGTTTGAGGGTGCGCAGCCCGCGCCCCGTGCAGCGGCTGAGCGCTGATCTCACCCGCACATAATGACACAAAAGGGGAGGAAATGCGGTACGCCTGCGTTCCAGACTGGAACCAGGATGCTTTGGCCGGGGAACGAAGGGGGGGGGGGTTGCCTACAAATCTATGGGTGAGGGGAGTCTGGGAAGGGCATGGAACGAGGACCTCTGTCCATAATCAACACGCAGTCACAGGCCCCACAGAGGGCTGTGCCCCGCGCCACTCAAGCATCTAATACTCGGAGAGGGCTGGATAGCATGCGCAAAATCGAAGACTCAGCAGTAACTCGTCAGGGTACATGGCGGGCGTGGAGGGGGGGGGTGCCCCACAGATTGCTCTTGGGGCCCCAGGTGTGAGGGGGACCAGCAGGGGGCGGGGCGCCGCCTCACCCTGCGGCGGCGCTGCCTTCCCGTAGGCCTGTGCGGCGGCGCTGCCTTCCCGTAGGCCTGTGCGGCGCCGCACGATCTCGCTCGAAAACTTTCAGTCGCCCGAGGCTGCGCGGCCCCATGCACGACAGCGGGCACCTTCCTCTGGGGAAGAGGAGCGTCGCCTTGCCGCTTGATGCTGCTCTGGCCTCCGGTCGCCGGAGGACACTCATTAAAGACTTGCTCGGGGCCAGGCGTCCACACCCGGGTCCCGCCTCGCCTGGGGCAGGTGACCGCGTGCCAGTCGGCAGGAGCATGCGGACGGCCAGCGGGAGGGTCCCAGGGTCGACCTCCTACCTCAGCGGCCCCAGAGGCCAGACCCCCCCGAGGTCCCCAAGCGCATGGACTCCAGGGCAGCCGTGAGGCCATCGTTGGCTGGAGAGGGCGAGCCAAACGCCCCGCTGCTGGCTGCATGACTCAGGCTGCCTGCCGGGCGCGCGCCCGGCGACAGGATCTCCTCCTGTGCGGGTGTGCGGGGCGGGGGGGGGTTGGGGGGGGCGAGCAACTCCATGCAGGAACTTTGGCGCGGAGGCAGTGGGTCCTCGTCTGGAGGGCGTCCACCCTGCCCGCCCTCGTCACCCTCCCATAAAATAGCAACGACAGCGACTACTAGCAGCAGAGCCCTGCATCCCCCAACACCCTCACACACAAACACCTGTCTGGGCACGGCCGCGTCGATGGCGACAAAGGCCCCCCTGATCTGGTGCGCGCCATGTGCCACGACGCGCTGGATGCTGGCCTCAGTCTCAAAGGTGACGAAGCCGAAGCCGCGATGTTCGCGCTTGTTGGCACGGTCGCGCGGCAGGTAGACGTCCATGACGAAGCCAAAGGTGCCAAAGTAGTCTTTCACGTCCGCCTCGCTCGTGTCCTTGTTCAGCTTGCCCACGAAGATGCGCGGGCCGGCCCGCGCCGACGCGGGGCCATGCATCGACCCCCCGCCGCCGTGCTGCATGGAGGAGCCGCCGTGCATGGAGCCGCCGGCGTGCACGCTGGTGCCGCCATGCACCGAGCCGCCGCCGTGCAAGGAGCCGCCGGCGCCGCCATGCATGGAGCCACCGCCGCCGCCGTGCAAGAGCCCGCTGCCGTACTGCAGGGAGCCGCCGCCGTGCAGGGAGCCGCCGCCGCCGCCCATCCAGCTGCTGGCCAGTGCGTCGGAGGCGGTGCGTGCCAGGTCCTGGGAGTACCCAGGCGCGTACGCGCCACCGCCCAGCGCGTCCAACCCGTGGCCGTAGGAGCCAAAGGCGTCACCACCGGCGCCGGCCTGGTGGTGGTACCTCGCGCCGGCGTCGCCCGGCCCCGCCTGGTGGTACTGCGCGCCCAGCGCCTGTCCGCTGGGGACGCGCAGCAGGCCGCCACCGGGTCCTGCGCCCGCACCGCCCTCCAGCGACCCGAAGCTGGCGGAGCCGGCCAGGCGTGCCTGGTAGGCGGCCTGCGCCAGCATGGCGTGCAGCCCGCCACCGGCGGAGCCGCCCATGCTGCCCTCCCGCGCCAGGGCGCGGTGCAGGCCGCCGCCGCCGGACGCGCCGCCGCCGCCGCCGTGCAGCGCGCCCAGGTACTCCGGCAGGCCGCCCCCTGCGGACGCGGCGCCGCCGGCGTCGAGGTAGCCTTCGCTGCCGCGGCCGCGCGGCGTGTGGTCGGGCGTGACCCCGGCGCTGCCGGCCGGCACCGCGCCGCTGAGCGCCGGGTGGCTGGCGTTGCGCCGTGCGGCGTAGGCGTCTTGGCTGGGCACATTTCCGCGTCCAACGGGGCGCACGTCGCGCCGCGGCGATCCCGCGCCCGCCGCGCCGGGCCCCTGCGCCGCCAGCGCGCGCAGGTACTCCGCCACGGCCGTGCTGCCATGCGCGGAGGCGCCGGCGCCGCCGCCGCCCAGCAGCGGCAGGTTGGGCTGGCTCATGCTGAGGCGGCCGGGCAGCATCGCGGCGGCCGCCGCCGCCGAGGCTCCGGCGCCTCGGTCTTTGGGCGTGGCGCGGTCAATGGCCACCTCGTTCCCGCCCAGGACATGGGAGCGCGCCATGACACGGTCCACTGCCTCTGCCCCCGCGTAGGTGACGAAGCCGATGCCGCGGTGCCCCGCCTTGCTGGGGTCCTTGGGCATGTAGGCGTCCTGCACTGCGCCAAACTGCTCAAAGTAGGCACGGAAGGAGGTATCCGAGACGGAGAAGGGGATGCGGGCGACGAAGATGCGGGTGGTGCGCGCCGAGCCGACCTGGGGGGGTGGAGTTGTTTGGGTGGGGAGGGGGTCGGAAGGAGAGGAGAATGAGGCCTAGTGGGGGGTGCACGCAGGGCTGCCCAGCAGGGCGGGCGGATGGCTCAGGGAGGCCGCTGTGCGGTCCCAATCGAGGCAGAACCTCCGGTCAATTTGAAATCGAACTGCACCATGCCGCAAACACAGGCCAGGGCGCCAGAACACGAATACGCAGGTGGATGCCCCGGCACAAGCAGGAAGCTTTCGACACAGCAGGAAGCTTTCAACTCAGCAAAGGGACTAACGCGCATCCTTTTGCGTGGTGCGTCCACGCAGGAGGGCCAGCCCGGCGACCCGACGCCCGGCCCATGAACATGGGGTTCACCACACAAACACACACACACACAACCCTCCCAAGTTCCCAACACCTCGCTACGTGCCGCCCCCACACCTTGCCCTCCGGCAGCGCAAACTTGGCCTCGCACTTGCGGCCGTCGATGACGTGCTCTGAGGCCACGGCGGTCCGGGCATCGCTGGGGCTGGCAAAGGTCACGAAGCCAAAGCCGCGCGACTTGCCCGAGTACCGCTCGCGCATGATCTGGGCGTCCTCCACGGCGCCGTACTGGGAGAAGTGGCGCGTCAGCGCAGAGTCCTCTGTTTGCCATGGCACCCTGGGCGGTGGGAAGGGGAGGAGTGTGTGTGAGGGGACTGGCAGAGGCCTGCATGCTGGCAAGTGAGCTGCCAGCTCCTCGACAGCCAGTGGGCGCCATGGAGAGGCAGGCGTGGCGCCCCCCTCCAGCAGCTTGCATAGTATGACACCATGGATGGTGAGCCCTGTTCCCCGCCAGCACTGAGGCAGCAACCAAGGGCATGTGCCCCACTCTACATCATAAGATCTTGGAAACGGTCCAACCCTCTCAACCCCAACCTACCCGAGGACCACTACTTTACGAGCGTCCACATCTGCAGAGGAGACCAGCGCCTCACCCTCCAACACTCCCTGCAGGCCCTCCCCCAGGCTCTCTGCACTGGACTCCGACAAGGTGGACAGCTGCCCCGCGCTGAGCAGGCCAACGCTGTTCCCAGTGGATATGCGGTGATCGAAGGAGATGGCCGGAGTTGGGGCGGGGAGGGGCATGGAACCCTGGGCTAGGGATCCGGCCTCCGTCCCGGGCGTTCGGGCCTCCAGGGCGCGTGCCTCCGGTCCAAGCAGATCAGGTTACAATCAAGGCCTGTGAGATGGTTGAAGGAAGGAGAAGGTGTGGTGAAGGATGGGAGCGAGGCCGACATCAGCCCCTCCTGCGCCGGGGGATGTCGTCGCCGAGAGCACCGCTGCGAAGCAAGGGCAGCGGCGCAAGTGCAGCGGGCGCAGCGAGATTGGGCGTCGTAAACGGTGGCGAGACCTTCTACTGGGCAACACGTGGTGTGGGGACCGCAGCAGCGCCTGGCCGAGGGCCAGCACTGCGAGTGACAAACCAAAGGGCGGGCACCCCTTGAACATGCCCCACCTTGTTCCTACAGTACTCGCGACACCCCGATGCGCGACTAGATAGTGACGAGCGCTCCGAAATTGACGGCCGCTTCAAGTTTTGACATCGCAACTTCTCCTATTGGTTGTCACATGCCCTGAACCGAGCAACCTCGCTCCCTCGTCGTTGAAGCTTGGTGGACAGGGGGTGCCAGCTGGAAAGTTTCCCGCGCATGCCGTGACACACTGCACCCCACGCAACTCGGTCCAAGACGGGGGCATCGGCCTCGAAAACTCTCTTCCCTGCCACACCGCATTGGCACTTGCACAGTGCATTAGTCTCACAACCTCGCCTGTGCCCATCGCTCCTCCCCTCGACCCAACCCCAAGTTCCTGCCCCGCAGCCTGCACTTTACCTCCCACTCCGGGCACCGTGCCCTCGATACATCTCTGAGCGCGAGTCAGGAGCACATAATCTCGCAATGCTGCGGCTGTGTCTTCAGCGTGCCTGCGCTGCGTCCTACTCTGCAGCGGCGAGCTGCAGCCCCGCTCCTCCCTGCGTCGCGACGTCTGCGCTGCGCCTGCTGCCCAGTCCCGGCCCGCGATCCTTTTCCAGCGATGCCGAGGCTGAGACGCGGGAAATCACCAATCCCAGGGTGCTGGAACTGGCGGACCAGATTACACAGCTCAACCTGCTGGAGGTGAGCGACCTCACCGAGCTCCTCCGAAAGCGCCTCAACCTCCCGGCATCATACGCCAGGCCGATGTACGCAGCTGGTCCCGTGGCCGCAGCACCCGCAGGTGCGTGGTGTGGGATGTGGGGCGCGTGCCTGGTGATGACTGGGCAGCAATGGTCTGTGATGGTCTGAGTTCGTCATGACCTGTGGTTTTCCTCATGTGCAAGCTCATCCTGCGAGGTACATGCGGGACTCCTGAATGATGCCTCAATCTATCCCTCACTCCATAACAAACCTTCTTGCAGCCGAGCCTGAAGCCCCCAAGGTAGAGAAGACGGCGTTCGATGTCAAGCTCGACGGCTTTGACGCTGCAGCCAAGATCAAGGTCATCAAGGAGATCCGTGCCGTCACTGAGCTTGGACTGAAGGAAGCCAAGGAGCTCGTGAGTCCAGGGTGTGGAATGTACCTCATGGAAAGTGCAGATGCTGGGCAGGGTATGCCATTCGAATACCTGCAAGGTTGAGCCAGATTCCATTGTTCTCCCTCTGCATTCCACGATGTATGAACTACCCCCAACAGGTGGAGGGCGCACCCGTCGTGGTGAAGAAGGGGCTGAAGAAGGAGGAGGCTGAGGAGCTGCAGAAGAAGTTGGAGGCTGTCGGCGCCAAGATCTCTTTGGAGTGAGCCCAGCCTTTGGGCAGCACCGGGAGGGGGAGTCCTGGACCCGGGCTGAGACTGGCGATGGCAAGGAGGAGCAGAGGCGCTCACAGACTCCAGTCTGGGCCTCTTTCATCCGCCTCGTGTTTTCACACCTTGTTTGCCATCCACTCCCTGTCGTGAGCCCCCCCCTTCATCTGCGATCCACTGCGCCGCTGGCCAGTGATGCCAAGGGAGGAAAACGGACCCGCCTCCCTTGAGAGGACTGAACGTCGCACTGTTAGTATCCTACAAATAGATGACAGTGGACATTTCTAGGTAAAGACACCCTTGGCGTGGGTTGCCCATTCCCGCCGCAGCTTGTTTGTCGCTTGCTCCGCACGGGCCTGAGAGAACGCGGGTCAGGGAGGGCTTGTCGAGCAGGCCAGGGCACCCTCAAGGGACCCACCCTCAACAACAAAGGGACAGCTCCTTACTTGAAGGTTTCCCACACATCAAAACCAGTGCGATATCCTGATACAGGGCGTCCTTCCCTGCGCAGCCCCACCTCACCCTCAATTTCTCAGCAAGTCGAGCCGCCTCGGCCTGAATGTAGTGCTCCACCGTCTGAGACTCGTCTGGCGCTGGTAGTACCTGGGCGAGGGACAATGAGGCATTTTGATGAGCATGGTGGGGGGCATTATGGCCACATTCGACAAAAGTGAATGCAAAAACCTCCTCGCAGGTTTGATCCTAGTCTCTTGCGCCTCTCCTTTGCCATGCTAACGAGCATGATTCACCCCAGCTCACCTCTGCTGCCGCCTCGGTCTCATCCCCAAAGCCAATGACGTCGCCATTGCGAAGCGGGCACGCATCTCCTGCAGATATACATATTGCGCAAGGTCAAAGCTGCGGATGCAAGTCCAGTGTGCCTTCCTTGCAATGCCGGTCTTCCCAGCACCGGCCTTCCCTCACCTTGACGCTCCAGCGCACGACCATTGAGTGTGGTGCCATTGCTGCTCCCAAGATCACGTACTGTCCAGGTCTTCCCGTCCCATGCTATCTGGGCGTGCCTCTCGGATACATTGGGGTCTTTGATCTGGAGCTGGCGGGGAACACGGGTGCGGCCGAGGATCTGTGCAGGTGCCTGCACGACCAGTTCCGTGCCAGCAGCAGGCCCCCGAGTGAGGCGCAGTGTCAGCAAAGCAGGCTCCTGCGATGTGAAATGGAAGTCGAGTCTTGTTTCCAGGACCTGCGAAGTCACACACACATAATCCTCCTTGAACAGCATGCGACATGCACATCGTGCCTGAGGGGTGTCGGAATCCGTCATCGGCACTACTGGCACACAGCAACGTCGCCACCAGGCCCTGCCGTCGACAAAACACTTCTTGAGCGTCGATTTTCCTGCTTAGCATCACTCTGAATTGTCAGACGACCCTTTTAGCTGCGCTGCACCCCGCGACAGCTCTTTTAGAGGGGCACAGCATGCGGCGCACATGTCTCGGTCACGGTGGTGTTTGAATCCAGCATCGCGGCAGTCTACCTACCGCAGAAGTTATGCCTCGCCGGGTGAGCGCGGCCGATGATTAGGGCTGCATGCCCTGCAACAAATCGGTGGGCCTTGTTTCTCCACGACGCAGGATGGAGGTCAAAACCTACAGTCGTCGTAACAAGCAGGTGAGGACCCAGCCGGCTGCATGGGCATCTGGCCTTCCCTGGGCAGAGCCTGCTAAGGTCACGGCCCCCCTCCACCTCCCATCGTTCAGGAATCCCGTCCTGTCCTCGTCGACATAGATGACGCCCCTACCTCCAATGAGCAGCTCAGTACTGCTGCATGCAGCCAGGCTGAGGAGCAGACCCCGCTGCCAGTGAAACCGAGGCCGGCCCAGGATGGCCGCTGGCGCCGGGGAGGTCCCGACAAGGAGAACGCTGTGCTCATACAGAAACAGCAGATGGCAGAGATGCGTCAGTACTTCCAGGAGGTGAGGTGCAGGGGCTGGATAATGGTGCCGTCCTGAGTGGCATGCCTTGGGCTGGGAGGGGGGTCCTGGACCAGGGCATGGGCATGCATGTACTCCAGGCCCCGCTCATTGAGTCGCTGCTTGGCTCCCCCAACACACCCCTGCTCCACACTCAGCACCTCCATTTGCTTCCCTGCACAAGGTGGATGCCTTTGAGCTGGCCGCAGAGACGCCCTCGCCGATGTTGCGGCCGCGAGCTCAGACCGTCGGGCCGGCCTCGCCCGTGCTTACCACGGCGCTGACAGCCAGCGAGTCTCTTCGGGAGCCGGCTCTGCGCGGAGGAGGGGAGGTCGCCGGCGAGTCCGGCGGCAGGCTGCCGGACTTGCGGGCCTCGCCGGAGCCTGCCGGGAGCCCCGCGCCGGCACTGGACGTGCCCGAGGGACCCCCCCCCAGCACGCAGCAGCGCCGCGCTTCCAGGGCTTCCGGCCTCTCGCGCCGCGTTTCATGTGCCCTCGTGGCTCACCCCCTGCCCGACCTAGATGCCGGAAGGTGATGGGGCCTGGGGTTAGGGCTGGGGCTGGCCGGCTTGGGGGAAACCGAGGGAGGCTGTGACACCATTCATGGTGGGAGAAGGTGCCACGCCTGGTGGCCGGGCGGCAGAACTCCCATCCAGCAGCGGCACACACCCCTTCCCACTGGCCCCCGCACGCCTTCCACCTCACAGGCGCTCCAGCGTCGGCGGCGCCCGCTGGGGCGCGGGCAAGGTTTGGCGGACCTCGCTGGCACCCCGCCTCAGCCTGGCGGGGAGCCAGCTGGCATCTGGGGTCAGCAGCGCCCTGCGGTGGGTCGGGGCGGTCCAGCCTCCCAGCCAGGCGGGGGATGAGGAGCCCAGCCACGAGGCCGCCACCTCGCCGGCGCCCTGGGGTGTGGCGAGGCCGTCGGTGGCCGCTGGGAGGCTGCCCGTCCCGAGCCCCATCCAGGAGAGTCCAGGCAGCGCGACAGACGAGGAGCCTGCTGGCGGGGATGGCGACAATCATGCGACAGGTGGCCCCAGTGCTGTGGGGGGATCGGGACCGCTGCCGCGGACCAAGACTGGGCGCGCCTCAGGGCTGAGCGGTGCATTGAAAGCGAACGACACATCGGAGCCAGGCGACGCTCTGGAGCTTGGGGAGGCCCTGCGGCGCTTGACCCTGGCGTCCGAGGGCCGCGCAGCTGGGGAGGGGGAGGCCGCCAAGACGGGGCTGGACCTGCTGCTGGAGTTTTGCGGTCAGACGGTGGGTGCGGTGACATGACTGACGGCACGAGAGTGTTGCTGCCTGGGGGCTTGTTGGACAGAGCGTCATCAGGCCTGGCAGGGACCTTCACTGCAACCTCGCACTCTCTGTCCTCATGACCCCCCAGACGGTGCCCTCCATGGAGGAGCTGCTGGGTCAGCACGTGGACCTCTCCACGGTGAGCAGAGAGGCTGGGGCTGGAGAGCAGCTACTCTGGACATGCCATGCAATGGAGATCACCATGGCAAGGGTTCTGCATGGAGTGGCTTGCAAGTCTTACCTTCCCTCACTTCCCAGGCCTGGCACACCTCTCGCGATACCCTGCGCAGGTGCGGAAGATCGGGGAGGGGACCTTCGGCGAGGCCTTCAAGGCCAGCGGCCAGGTTCTCAAGATTGTGCCCATGGAGGGGGACATCAAGGTGAGGCATTGAGGTGGGGCATGCAGAGCTGAAGGTTTTGGTGGGGGCTTGACTTGCCTGAGGCCACACCTCCCCACACGCACCGATTCTTCCCTCCTTTCCTCTGCACAGGTGAATGGCGAGCTCCAGAAGCGGGCGGACGACATGCTGGGCGAGGTGGCCATCACCAAGACGCTGAGTGCGCTAGGCGACGAGGACGCGGCTGGTGAGGTGGCGGACTGTCTCGGGAGAGGGCTTTGAGAGTGCAGGCTTCGACTGCTGCATGCCCCATCAACCCCACACCATTGCCCCTGCCGCGCCAACTTTCCCTGCAGCCGCCAATTCCACGCCCGGCTTCGTGCGGGCGCTGGGGGTGGGCGTAGGGCGGGGCGCCTACCCGCCGGCTCTGCTCAGCGAGTGGCACCGCTGGGACGCAGAGCACGCCTCCGAGAACGACCCCGTGGATGTGTTTGGGCAGGACCAGCTGTACACGGTGAGGTTCTCTGGCTTTTTGTACACATTTGTGGGGTGGTGGGGCAGGAAAGGGACGCGGGAGGTGGCTCTGATGCTCAGAAAGCATGCATGTACGGATCACCTCGAAGCTGGCCCACTCGTCCACCCCATGGAACATCCCCCCACGATCCTTACTCTCCATGCCTCTCCCACCAAACCCCCAGGTGTTCATCTTTGAGGACGGGGGCAAGGACCTGGAGCATGCCACCCTCGACTCCGCATCTGACATCCAGTCCATCCTCCTGCAGGTCAGTGCTTTGGACTGGGCAGAGGTGCCTGAGATGTTGAGGATGAAGGCGTCCATGAAAGCAATCCATCGTGTGGCGGCCTCAGGATGAGCGACAGACACCGAGGGACTCCCAAACTTCATGATCGAGGCCCCCCCCATCTCCACCCCACCCTGCAGACGACGCTGGCACTGGCCGTGGCCGAGGAGGCGGCGGAGTTCGAGCACCGTGACCTGCACTGGGGCAACCTCCTGGTGAAGCCGGCGGCGCCGGGCGAGGCCCTGCGCTGCCGGCTACGCGGTGTGGAGCTGGAGGTGTGCGGCGGGGGCCCGCGCTGCACCCTCATCGACTTCACGCTGTCCCGGTTGCAGACCGCGGGCGGCGCGCTGGCCTTCTGCGACCTGGCCGCCGACCCGGAGCTCTTCGTCGGGCCGCGCGCCAATGCCCAGGCGAGTGTGGGGCGGGAGGATGGAGTTTTGGGGGCTGGGAGGCTGGGGTGAGCGTGCGGCAGTGAGGGATGCGCAGGGGGGGAGCGGCACACCCAGGCCGATCCCCTCCAACCCGCCGCAGGCCGAGGCGTATCGGCGCATGCGCAAGCTCACCGGCGACTCCTGGGAGAGATACGTGCCGGGGACGAACGCGGTGTGGCTGCACTACCTGGCCGACACCTGCCTCACGCAGAAGCTGGCCCAGGCGTGTGGTGGTGGTGGTGGGGGCGGTGTGCGAGCCCTAGTGCCCGGCGTGGCGCTGCGCCCGGGTGCACGCATTTGCTGGCGCCCCGCGCATTCCCCATTCTCAGGTGGCGAAACACTGCGCCAGGCACCCTCGAGCCACACCACCTTTCCCCTCACACATTCCGTCTGCAGTGCAAGCACACGCCAGCAGACAAGGTGGCCCTGAGGGGCTTCCGGAAGCGGGTACTGGCCTACGCCAGTGCCGGCGAGGCGGTGTGGGACGAGTACTTCAAGGGCAGTTGGACGGCCACCGACTGATCGATGACTCGTCGGCGAGCTGGCCTTGTGGCTCCTTGATGGATGCCGCTGCTGCACATACATCGATGTGAGAGAACGACAGGTCCTGTGGCGATGCCCCGCAAGGCTTCTAGCTGACTCGACCTCCCAGGATACCCTCCTCCCCTCCCCTGCTTGCCAACCCCAGATTCCCTGCTGCCTGCCTCCTGCAACGTGTCGGGGAGAGCACCTTACAGCGACTGGGCCTGCCGGGTTCACTCGGTGGTCTTTAGGATGTCCGAGTCGCCAGCGTCGGTGATGGTGAGGACAGACACGCGGTGCAGCTTTCCGCAGGCGGTGCCCAGGTCCACGTTGTTGCCCGAGAAGTGGTGCACGCTGGACTTGGAAAGCATGGCGTAGTACTCGATCTCGGACTTGCGCACGGAGGGGCAGTTGTTGGAGATGATCACCAGCTTGGCCTGCAGCGGGAGTGGGAGGGAGTGAGGATAGGCGGCGCCCTACACAGAGCAGAGGAGACTCCAAGCCCCGGAACGACGCGACACAGGACATCCTCGCGCACCTTGCCGTTGCGCAGGGTCTTCAGCGTGGTCTTGTAGCCCAGCGTGTATTTGCCGGACTTCATCACCAGGGACAGCCTGGAGTTGATGCTCTCCACCGACTTCTTCGACTTCTTGACAACCGCCATTGTATGGATGTTCTGTCTCCTTCTCAGCCTGCACAGACAGTGGGATGAATTCCGATGAGCTTGCAAAGTCGCGGGGCGGTGCTAGCGGAGAACGAAGGGCCCGGTCCCAGCCAAGCACTACGGCGGGCAGGTGGTGCACAGGGCCGGCACCAGCCCCGCCTGTCCAGTATGGTGCAGGGGCATGCCAAGCTCACCGTCGGCTCCAGAGACGTTAGGGAGTCGGAAAAAGGGAGGGATGCAGGGGAGGAGGCGCCCTATGTCGCCTGTGTCAAGGGGCTATTTAGAAAGATCGAATATCGCGGGGCGGCTCTCGCCCCGAGCCCCGAGCTACAAGCCGGGTCCTCCCGATAGCCCGACCCTCTTTTGTCAGGAGGGTTGATCACCATGGTGAGTGGAGGGGGCGGACTGGATGGCACCCACGGGCAGAGGTGTGTCTCCCGCGCTCACTCCGGCACGCACCCGATGCCACCCCACAGGCGCCAAAGGAGCAGAAGTCCAAGGAGGCCAAGGCCATGGCGGCCATGTCGGCCGGCAAGGGCAAGAAGAAGGTAACAGCTGGGATAGCGTGGCTGGGCACGGCCGAACAGCCTGCGGCGTCGTGCACGGAGACCGGAGGTGTGTTCTCGGGTGCCCAGACGGGCCCGTTCGTCACGTTATCTTCCCGCCCTATGCATCGCAGAAATGGTCGAAGGGAAAGCTGAAGGAGAAGGTGAACAACCAGGTCCTCTTCGACAAGGTGCGACGACGCCGTGGATGCCCCCCTTGTGTGGGCCCTGCATGGCTCGGCTGACTATCGGGCATACTGGATGCCAGCGGCCTCCGAGATTGTAGCTCAGTCTCGCACGCCCACCCCATCGTTCGCAGGCCACCTACGACAAGCTGCAGAACGAGGTGCCCAAGTACAAGCTGATCACCCCTTCCGTGCTGTCCGACCGCCTGAGGGTGGGTGCAGGGGAGGAGCAGGGAGTGTCGACGGTGTTAGATTGGGAACACGTGCCTCCTTATGCTTTCGCCATTCTTCACAAGTGTCACTTGCACGATTGCTGTGCAGGTAAACGGCAGCCTGGCGCGTGCCGCCATCAAGGAGCTGCTGTCCCAGGGAGTCATCCGCGTGGTCTCCAAGACCCACTCCCAGGAGATCTACACCCGGGCAACCAACACCGAGGCATGAGGCCCCGGATCTGGAGGCCTATGCGTGCTCCCGTGGTCGCATCCTGCCGCTGGATGTAATCTCATTTCTGACTCCGGCTAGGGTGTTGAGAGGGAGTGCACAAGGGCGGGGGGAGGGCCCGGACATGGGAGGATGAGGATTGTGAAAGGGAGAGGTGCAAGGGGGTTTGCCAGGTGAGCAAGGGAAAAGGAAATGCAGAGGACGTCCACCGGTGAAGTGGGTCCAGTATCAATGCTCGGTATGGAGAACTTGAGTATGGTCTTAGATACTCTCTGCTCACAGAGAACAGATCGCAATTGAAGCAGTGCTTGCCATTTGGAATGGCCCGAGCAGTCAGATTAGCCTGCACCGCCCGAATCAGCCTAGGAATGGAATGGGAGGCGTGTGCATGTACAAGGAGCCATGTAAGCGCATGGAAAGGTGCATCGGAGATTGGCGCGGTCAACAGTTCTGGCCCAGACTTGCCACAACAGACCTCGGCCGCATGCATCTGAAGGAGAGTCTTTTTCTGCAAGCCGAGCAGGACGTTGACAACAGGTGTGCTGGTGACTGATCAGGAAGTGCCATTTGTCCTCCTCTGCGGCCCCAGCCCCGCTGGGGCCCAGGCAGAAATGACATTCACTCGTCCCAATGACCATGCCCATGGGGATTGCCCCGATCAGTTTGACAGAAGGCAGGGGATCCTGAACAAACCCACGCCAGCCTTCCATCCCAGTATGTTCCTCTCCAGGGTTCGAGCTGCAACGTTACAGACGAACGACGCCACTCCGAACCTGGGGTTGCACCAGACTTGACGCGCCCCTCCAGAAGAACACACGCACGCAAGGATCTCATGAGCACACGCCAGCTCCACCTGTGCCGTCCAGTCTCAGGAAGCCTCGCCATTCACCGACATGCCACACCCTGCGCCATCACCGCCCTCGCTGCTGCGCCTGGCTGCCCACCAGCGGGTTGCTGAGGATGCCCGTGTTGGCCCAGCCGTCGCCCAGTGGCATGGCCACCGCGTCCGACAGGTACCCACTGGCGGCGGCCGCCAGGTCGCGTGCCGAGCCGGAGGCGTTGGGCGGCGCGCGCGGCGGCGAGACGCGCGCGCCGCGCGCTCCCTCCTGCGCCGCGGCAATCTTGTTGCCCAGCGCGCGCAGCATGAACTGCTGGCGGCACAGCGACCGCACCTGGTGGAGAGGGGAGGGAGAGGGGAAGGGGGGATGGGGGGTAAGTTACTGGTCCAAGCTTGGAAACCCACGTCCTGAACACCGGCAGGGACCTTGCCCTCCACCACCCCCTCACACGCCCCCGCAAGCGCCCGCCTCTCACCTGCTTCAGGTAGGCCTCCGGCGCAATGCCGCCCCTGTTCAGCAGGCCGTCCAGCACGTACAGCGCGTCCTCCGTGGCCAGGTCCTGCGCCTGCACGGCCAGCGCGGCGGCCGACAGGTCGTCGGCCGGCACGATGGCGGCGTCCGGCGCGCCTGCGCCGCGCGCGCCCCGGGCCTCCGCGTCGGCCAGCCAGCGCGCCAGCGCCGCGCCGGCCGCCGCCAGCTCGTGCGCCGTCGCGTCCAGGGCCAGACGCTCTGCCTGCAGCCGTGCGACGCCGGCCGCCAGCGAGGCGCGGCGGGCCGCCAGCTGGCGTGCGGCGCCCGTCGCCTCCTCCAGCTGGGCGGCCAGCGCGGCGCGCCGCGCGCCGAGCGACGCCGCCAGCCGCCGCTGCAGTTCTACGGCGGCTGCAGAGCGGAAGGCGGCCGCCAACGCAGCGGCCGTCGCCTCCGCCTCGGCGCTGGAGGGGGGCGGGGCGGGCGCGGGGCGGGCGTGCTGCGGCGGGGGCGCGCCATACCCGCTGCTGGAGGCCTGTGCGGCCGGCGGGGGGGGCGGGGTGAGGCCGGCCCGGCCCAGAAGCCCGAGCTGCCGAAGCCAGAGGCGGGTACCGGGGGCGGCGGTGTCGCGCTCGAGGCTGGGCGGGGACTCGTCCCCATGGACAGGGACTGCAGGCGGGAGGTAGCCCTGCGTGTGTGAGGGAGCAGCGCTGAGCGATCGGCGGCAGGCTGTGAGGTGAGACGGAGCTGCCGTCCCGATCCCAGGGAGGCTGAGAAAGCCCACCTCAAGCATCATTGGGCCCCAGACCCTTCCCGCCTCACACCCACCCTTGGACGAGAGGGTTGTGGAATGGCTCAGGATCCGAGGTGGGGGGAGGAGGCGGGGGCACAGGCTGCGGCGCAGGGCCCTCCGCAGTCACCGCAGAGAGGGGGCGAGGGGATGGGGAAGGCCGCAACCCTGGCTTATGGGCCCCATCAGGGGTCCAGCCCGGAGGCTTGGTGAAGAGGGGGGGGTCAGAGCCGAAGCAGATGGACATGTCCTGAGCAGAGGGCGTTGGGGCGTGGTGTGAATTTACTTCATGGCCGCGAGCACTTTGGGGAACACATGCCAGCCCAGGCCCCAATGAGGAGGTGCTGCTCAAAGCTAGCGATTAACGAAAAGCACGCCACTCCCATGCTGGCATGCGAGACCCGGCCTGCTGCACGCCATCAGCCAGACCAGCCTGCCGACCCACCTCTGCCAGGATTCGAAGATTTGACCCTGGGTACAGCCAGTTTTCTAGGTACAGGGAAGCCACAGAGCCGGATGGGTCGACCACCGAATGCCCTGGCTTGATCATCATGTCAGGGGTCGGCACGACATACACGATGGGGGGTGCCAGGGGGAACTGCTCCGGCAGCCAGACAGCCACCGGGATATTGTACTTGACTGTCTGTGCTTGAGGGGGGGTGTTGAGGGCGGTGACGGGGGAGGGCAATTGGGGATGGAAGTTTGCCACCAGGCCCACAATCACGGCATCCAATATCATTCTAAAGGCACACAAATCACTCCACGTTGTCCTTCCACCACAGCCGACCTGGTAGTACATGGGGATTGTGCCTTCTAGTAGGAGCAAACTCTGGGTCCTGAACAGAGGGACAATGTGCGAGGAGTGACTGCCTGCAGGCCTGCATTGAATGCTAGAATGCTCATGACCACAACGCATGCGTGGCAAGCTGTCCAGCAAATGTTTAATCCAGCTTGACACCAGGCAACACCAATCCCAAATGCTCCATCCATGCACCACGGGTAGGGGCACTTGATCCAAAGAATTAAGATATGCATTCCCTTCGACACGCACCTCCCAGTGTGATGAGTGTAATCGTCCACTTTGACCTTCAGCGAGGGTATCTCCTGCACACCCACGAACAAGTGAGTAAACATGTGCCACTGGGCCTCCCAAGCGTGACCAATCTCAAGCTAGCTCGCTGAGCGAAGCCTTCCGCTGCAGGAAAGGTGCTCCCAAGGAACAGGCAAGACAGAGCCATACCAGGAGCATCCAGGACATGCACCATGTCCTCCTGAAATCCATTCAAGACAGGGATGGAGCCTCCCCTCGCGCACCGTCAGGACCTCCTGAACTTGCTGCCGGACTGCAAACTTGAAGTCGTCGCCATAGGGCAACGCGTTGGCACCCGTCCTCCCCAATGCCTCGGACAGCAGGTACAGGGAGCCTGGTGCCATGGCTCGCCGCTATGACTGTCCAAGCTTTCACCTGGAGGCACTATCTACGTTTTCATTGTATCTGGCGCACCAAGCTTGGGTGGCCCCCTCGAGGCGCAGCGTCCCGGAAGCTGAAGGCTTCCCTCGCCCTCTAAGAACGCAAGGCTACTCTTTCCTGTGAGAGTCAAAGGTCAAGCAAATTATGATCGTATCGTTGCGATGAAATCCGGTGTTGCTTGAGACACCAGGTGCTCACATACCCTCGACACATGAGACCGACTGGGCGCGCGATCGAGCACCATGAAACCATTCCTGGCATCATTCAGCCCCCCCACCTTCGATAGACAACATACAATTACTTTATCCAGAGTTTTCACGATTTTACACCCGCGTTGTCGAGGGCATGGCTGTCTTTTCGGGACATCCAGTCTGCTGCGTCCCTCCCACTCTTTGGAAGCGTTCTCCCTGACAAGCGCAGCGGCCAGGATGCCCGCAGCGGAAATTTAGAATAAGGATCATGGCGTCATGTCCCTCCCCCGGATCGCACACCTCCACCTCGGAGTCAGGGGAGGCTGGCGCCCAGAGTGCGGTGTCGCACCGCGGCTCCGGCCAGCGCTCTCCACCCCCTGCCAGCGATTTAAACCCCGCGAGGCCCCTGGCTGGCATGCACCTGACCTCGAGTGAGCTGAAAGCTCATGCTACCTGCTTGGCGGCCCTGGCCCGTGCCGGCCATGGCACCCGCACCGTGGACGATGTGCTGGGCTGGGTGAAGGCTGAGCTGGAGGCCAGGGGCCCTGGGCTGGCTTCGGAGGAGGGCTCGGCGCCGACCTCCTCCTCCGCCCTCTCTCAAGAAGGCCCCGAGGAGCCGACCAGGCCCAGCGTCGCCCCGCCCCAGGGCCCAGCCCCCGCCCAGCTCTTCGCCAAGGCCACACACTCCAGCCACCTCAACTACAGCGACATCCTGCAGGCCTTTGCCGCCACAGCATCAGGTGGGAACACTCCCCCCCCCCCCCCTGTTTTGTGGTGGTATGGTGGGCACTGTCTCCATGGCGCGGGGTGGTCGCCCCGGACCTGCGTCCCCTTTGCTTCGGACCAGGGTGCTGTGCATCCCAGAGCCAGTGGCAGGCTGCTGTGTCCCGGCGTGGAGCCCTGTGCGAGGGCAGATGTTCCTCCTCTTCACCCCATGATCACAGAGTGAACCCCTCTGCCACATCCTCGCAGGTCTGGACCCAGAGTCCCTGGCCGACTACCTGCACAACCTGGCGGTGCTGTGCCATGAGGCGCCGGACAACGAGCTCGTCGTGCGGCCCAGTGTGCACAGCGCCGACCCGTACGGGGCATCCGGCCGCGCTGCGCCTGCCCAGGCACGCGGGCCTGCACCCCCCAGCCGTGGCCACCCACTGTCCTCGATGCTAGGATCGCAGCCTGGGGCGCCGCCTGGCCCCATGTACCAGCCCCGCCCCCCGGGCCAGCCACTCCCTCCCCGCCACCCGGCTCACGCCTCGCTCCTGGATGACGGCTTCCGGGGACACGTCGCGCAGCCCCTGCGCTCATCCTCCGACCCCCTGCGCCTACTCAGCGCTCTGGAGGAGCTGGAAAGGAGGGAATCGGGGCACGGGCCCCTCGCGCTGGGCGGCGGCCTGCACCTGGGGGAGCTGCCTTGGGAGGAGGCGCCGCCAGCCCTCCCAAGCCTGGCCGCCCACCTGCTCCCGTCGGAGAGCCAGGGGCTGCTGAAGACGTCGTCGGCGCCCGAGCACATGCTGCGTGGGGCGCTGGCCGCTGACAGCCAAGGCAAGCGAGTTGATGGGGTGCTGGGTGTCGTGGGGGTACTTTCGAGGGGGTGTACAGTTTAGGATGCACCCTTGCCACCATGGCCGGCGCAGCCGCTCATCTTACGACCAACTCACACCTCTGACGCTGCAGCCCCAACCCTGGCCGAGGAGTGGGAGGGCCTGGGCGCGAGTGTCGGTCTGGACCGGCGTGGGAGCTCGTCCTCCATATTCACCGCCCCGCCTACCGCCCGGGAGCAGGGCGCCACCGCCAAGCCGTCCGGGCTGTGGCCTGGAGCCAGGACCTTTGTGCAGCGTCGGGCCTCGCGCCTCTCCACACACTGCATGCCGGCAGAGGAGCAGTGAAGGGCCGGTGCTGGACGAGGCAGGCCAGGGGTGTCCATGCGGCAACCCCCTAGTACAGCGCTTGTATTATTCCTTATCAAACCCATGCTGGCCCGAGAATCGGCAGGTTTGGTCACCAAAAGTACTCCTCGACACACGGAGTTCCTCCATCTTTGTCCTGTCCGTGATAGTCCACCTAATACTTCCCAATAATACGCTTCCAGGCTTTTCAACTGTAGCTGATTCAATAAAGCTTCCTGAATATGGGAGGAGTACTTATCTAAGAAGCTACCAAGGGGAAGCATGCCGCGGATGTCCGGACTCCGCGATATGACAACCTTCCTTCGTTTGACTCCCGATGCACAGTCCCTAGATCAGAAGCCAGAGCATCGACTTGGAACAAGCGAGGCCTGCCCAAAATATATTTCTCGGATCTGAATCTAACAAAGACCCATGTCGGTGCTCCAGGATCTGGTCATGCAGAAAGGTGCGAGACACCGTGCTTTGACCGGGGCTGCGGGCACCATCCGGAAAGCGTACGCAGGCACCAAATGCAGATTAATGTCAGCATAATAGCCTCATCTAGCTCTCCATCTCATTATACATCTACTCCTATCCCCGTGCGATGTGGCACAGGCGCGCAGAGCTGCAGGCTGGTAGTGCAGCAGGAGGACACGGCGGTCCTCGCCACCGTGAGCCAGCTGGGAGGGCGTGATGCTGGGCATGCACCACCTGTGGCCGTACAGACCAGGTATAATTCGTAATTTGGACGTGGGGCCTCGGGGGGTGGGCACATTTTCAGTGATGCATCGATCGTGCTTCTGGAGGGTATAGGCGACCGGAAGCGGCGTGAGCAACATCATGGCCTCCACAGGCCCATCCATCTGGATGACATTTCGACTCTCGGCCCCTGATCAGGTTCTCTGAACCCGACAAGTGCGCATGGGAGGCACTCGTGGAGGCCTTCGTGGCGCTGAAGATGCAGGAAGGGTATGTCATCAGCCAACATTATGCCACATCCCCTCGCATCCATGGTGAGAGCAGGGTGGGGTGGGCAGCCACTTGGCCAAACCCATGTACCGACCTCGGTGCAGGGGATGTGGTTACCTTCTCAATTTCATTGCATGTTTGCCCATGCAGATATCCTCTGAGCCTGTGTGATGGCGAGCATGGCATGTCCAACTCCCAGACTTTCCACACGGCTTTTCCCAACCAGAATTATCACTTTCGCTGTCTGGGGGCTCGCTGCCCTCGTTGGACTCCATGCCTTCCACCTGCGAGCGCGAGAATGGGAGCTTCCTGAGCGACGTTTCTCCCTTCGATGCCAGCCCCAGCGATGACTCGGCTGCGGGCTTCCTCCCAGCGGTGCGTTGCCCTTGTGGCAAGGGTGGCCTTGGGGCCTGGGTCTGTGCCAGCTGGGATGGCGTTCCCTGCATGAACCGTTCTCCCCCCACGACCCTCCCTGCAGGACATGTCTGGGAGGCTCGATCACAAGAAGGGATGCACAGACATCCGATCCATAGCCCAGTACTTCCGGTACCCCATCAGCGATGCTGCCCAGATGATGGACATCTGTCCAACCGTCCTGAAGAAGATCTGTCGACGGCACGGCATCAACAGATGGCCGCAACGCAAGGTGCGGGGTGGTTGGGCATGGTCCCAGTGGAGACTGCGCTGGGCTGTGGCTTAGTCTGGTGTGGAACGCAGCACCCATGGTTGAGCCGTCCAGCCTGACCCAGCCCCTGAGCACCCCTCTCCACATCCCCACAGCTGAAGAGCATCGAGAAGCGGGTGCAGGAGCTGGCGGCCCGCGCGCCTGAGGCAGGTGCGGACCGAGCGAGCCTGCAGGCCAAGATCGCGGAGCTGCAGGAGGAGATGCATGCCCTGACCTGTGGCCAGCTCAGTCTGCCAAGCCATTGTGCTTGGTGATGCCGGCGGGGGCAGGTCCCCATGGTAGCTGAAACCCTAGGAGATGTGCTCACTCCTTGTATGTGATTGCTTGGAGAACTCTGCAACACGTGGAGTCAGCACACAGACACGCTGAGAGGGGCGTCAAGATTGCAGAGGGAGTCCCGCCCTCCTCATGCCTCCAGGATGTCGTCCCAGCGCCAGTCCTGGAAGACCTTGCCGGGGACGAACAGTGTGCGTGCCAGGGCCTCCACGCCCTCCGGATCGGGTGCCAGGGTCGGGACGGGCAGTCTGGGCCCCAGGCCCGGTACCGCGGCCGGCGACGCCGTGCCCTCCACCCCGGCGTCGGCCATGACCGCCGCCAGCACGTCGCGCTGGCCGGGGTCCAGCAGGTCGGCCTCGCGCTGGAGCGCGCCCAGCGCCGCCGCCAGGTGCAGGGCCACCCGCGACCCTGGCTCCAGGCGGGACAGGTCCACCTGGTACAGCACGGCAAAGGCGACCCGCGCCGCGGCCCGCAGCTGCTCCTGCGTCCGACCTGGCAGCGGGGTGTGGGGGTGGGATGGAGTGGGTGGGGTAATTACTGGGTTGGGATTCATAATGAGCAGGAAACTCTCCGGGCAGAGCGTGTGCATGGCCAGGTGCTCGGGAGTGAGTAGGGAGATTGACCACACGACAGCGGAGTTTCATGAATGGCACGCTCCGCAGTCAGGCTTTGATGCTGCAGGCTGGTTTAGTAGACAGTCATGTCAAGCCAACTCCCCCCCCCCTATCACTCACACACACACACACAAATCTCTTCAGTATCCACCTCCACCGCCATGCCCGGTGCAAGCCTTCATTCCATCCTGACTGCCCCTCCCAGTTCCGCACACAACACCCAAATGCTCGCACGCCCCCGCCAGCCCCCCGCACCGCAGCTCGCGCGCTGGTGGATGGTGGCGAGGAGGAGCAATACCCTCTGCAGTACCCACTCCAGCTGGCGCAGCGTGGCCGACGCGACGAGGCGGGCCACGCCGTGCAGCAGCGCCAGCTCAGTGCGCTCCCCGCCCCGGCCCGCGGCCCGGTCCAGCTCGGCAGCCAGCTCCGTCTGCACCGCCGCGTCCTCGGGGAAGGCGGCCAGCACCTCCGCCGCCGCCGACATGGCCGCCAGCAGGACGGCAGGCGGGGGCGAGGGGTCTGGATTCCCTTCCTCCCACTCCTCGTCGTCCTGCTGGCTCACGGAGCGCGCCGCCTCCCCCTGCGCCGCCCGCGGTCGGGTGCTCATCAGCGCCACCAGGAGTGGGATGAGCCGGCGCTGCGCCTGCGGTGAGCGACGAACCGGGGCGGCTGCGCTGTCAGCCAGACGCTCGTCCCTGCGCGTGCCCCTCACCCTCGCAGGTCACGGCACAGGAAGGAGACGGGAGGTCCCTCGACTGCGATGCCCATGTCCACCCGGCACCACCCGGCCTCGCCGCCACACACACGAGCGAGCCCAGCAACCGAGCGCCCTGCCACTCGCACCTGCCGGCCAGGCAGCGTCGGGGCCACGGCCCCAGCCAGCAAGGCCATGCACACACAGCCCTCTGCCGACCCCGACCCCACGCCTTCCGCGAGCGTCTCCAGCACCGCGTTCTACGCGACGGAGTGGGGGCGGGATGGTCGAGACGTTCCAGCGTGGGCATGCACTTGCATCGAGCGTCGGCGCGAAACCCCGCCACCCCTGGCATGCCGTGGCAGTCAGAAGGTGCCAGCACACACTGAACAGTCTTTCCAGGGTCCAGTCACCTCCCCTCACCAAAGATCTCCGGCGATCAATGGCGCTCGCTGGTGAAACGCCACCTCCTGCCACCCACATCTCCACCTGGGAGCCCTGCAGCCACCCAAAGACCAGCGCAGTCCCATGCTCCCTACCTGAACAGACAAGGCCTCCGCGCAGGCAAAGCGCACGGCCTTGGCGGTGGCGTGCGGGTGCTGCAGGGCCCAGGCCGCCCCCCCGCCCGCCGTCAGGCGGCGGAGCAGCGCCCCCGCCGCGCCCCGCCCGCAGTACGGCAGTACGCCTGACAGCAGGAGGGGGAGCAGCGCCGCCCTGCCCGCCGCGGCGGCCAGCGGGGACTGCGGCGCCAGGTCGCGCGCCGCGGCCGCCACGCGGGGTGCGGGGTGCGGGCGGCCGCCATCGCACCATGAGGGGAACCCGACTGTTGTGATGGGGGGCGGGGAAGAGAGTGGGGATATGTACGACACAAGCACATGCGGGAAACAGTCTGGGTACCAGGGATGGATGGGATTTCCGACGTTTGTAGGCTCGTTGCGCTGTGGAATGCAGATCCCTGGAGCCAGGCGGGGGCCACGCCAGCGTTGCTGCTCCCCGCATGCTCCAGGAATCCATCAAAGCACCCACACATGCACAGACACCCACATTCCCCCATCCCCACACCTGCGGTGTACACCAGGGGCTCGACTGCAGCGGCGGAGGCTGCCTCCCCCAGACCCAGGCACACGGTCTTGAGCACCGCCGCAAAGCGCTGGCGCAGTCCCTTGGTCTCCGGGACGGGTGCCACGAGACGCGCCGCGCCGACGACAGCAGGCACGATGGTCAGCACAAGGCAGTCCACCGCCGGCCACTCGTGCGCCGCGCCGGCGCCGCTCGAGGCGCACCACGCCTCGAGCGCGGCGGCGAGGACCGGGCCCGAGGCATGGCCGTCGCCTGACGCCGCACCGTCCCGCTCCTCCCCGTCTCGCTGCGCCCTGCCCGCCCACGGGGGGATGGTGGCGGCCGCCAGCCGCTGCACTGCCGGCAGCAGGCCCAGCAGCATCTGCAGCAGTGCCATGGCCTTTGAGAGGGGAGGGGTGGGTGGGGGAAGGGGAGAGACTGAAGGGGGTGTGGCGCACAGCTGAGGCAGCGGTGCTTCAGGGTCAGCGACTCGAGAAGGAGGGTGGGGAATCCTCGATCATGGCATCAAAGGCCCAGACCTCCACCCCCTGCCCTGCTGCCTCATGCACCTCTCCTTTCGCCCTTTCCACCCCTGCCGCATCCTCACCCGCCAGACGACGGCCCCGGAGGGCGCGCGAAGGACGGCGGACCCCGCCGCCACGCTTTCCTCGGGCGTGCCGGCCAGGAAGGGCGCGCGCGCCAGCCCCGCCCCCAGCGCCTCCAGCGCGGGTGCCGCCAGGTCCAGCAGCACACCCCCGCCGTTCTTCGAGCCCGTGTCCCCGCCCGCCGCCCAGTCCGCCAGCGCGGGCACAAGCTCGTCCTGCGCGGCGGCGGCCACCTCCGCGCCGGGGTCGAGCACGAGGTGCAGGGCAAGATCGCGCAGGCGGCCCGCGGCGCCCGGCGCCACACGCGCGCGGAGGAGCGCGCACAGCGCGCGCAGCGCGGCCAGGCGCACCACCGCCTCGGCGTCGTGCGCCAGGTGGTCGGCCAGGCCCAGCGCCGCGCCGGCCAACGCCGCGCGAGGAAAGAGCGGCGCCAGCGCCGCAGCCGCCTCGGCCACCAGCAGGCGCCGCTCCAGTGCGTCGGCGTCCGCGCCGGAGCACAGCGCGGGCAGCAGCTCCAGCTGGACTCGGGTGGGGGACACGGCCGACGCCAGGCGCACGCACGCACCCACCAGCATCTCCCTCTGTGCGTGGTTTTGTTGTGTGTGTGGGGGGGGCCTGGATGGAGAGGGGCCTTGTCAGGCGCGAGTTGAGGATGGGCAAGCGTGTAAAGGGGCTTGATGGGTAGATGTGGGGGGGACGCTAGCACGGCAGGACCACAGGCACGGGTGCGCAGAGGAAGCGGTCGGCCCCTGCTTGTTCACACCCCAAGCACCCCCCCTTCTCCCCCTCAGGCAGACCTGCTCGGCGCTGGGTTTCTTGATCAGGTTGAAGAGGCAGGCGGCCATGGCGCTGCGGGTCTCCAGCTGGGGGTGCTCCCGTGCCAGTGCCAGCAGCAGCGGCACCGCCTCTGTTGTGGTCAGGGTTGGGGGGAGGGGGGGAAGGGCCCGGTGATATCCCCATGCGTTGCGCAGCGGGGGCATAATGGCAGCCAACTCCTCGAGCGTAGGCCGGCGAAGGATCCCAGGAGAGAATTCAAGTCGGGCACCGGACGATCCTGCAAATATTCTACAATCCCCGCCATCGGAGGCCTCCCCCCTCCACGTCCGAGCCGGAGTGGCCCACTCATTGTGAAACTCCACAACACAATATACACCCATCAAGCCCTCCTTCAACGCACACACCCCAGCACACAATACTAACAGCTCACGCACCTTGTCTCCGGTTGATGAGGACATGCGGGAGCAGCGCGGGCAGGGAGGCCGCCACCTCATCCAGCGCGGACCGCGCAGCCGCGGCGGAAAGCGCGGCGGGGGAGCTCCCCCGCTGGCCCTTGCCCCAGCCGTCCCCAGCCTCCTCGTCCCCCGCTCCATTCCCCCCTTTCTGCGCCAGCCGCTCCTCCAGGTCCCGCACCCGGCTCGCCTCGAAATCTAAAGCGGCCTGCAGGCGATGCCCCTCCTCCGCCGCGCTTTCCAGCCGGCGCTGGGCCTCCGCCTCCGCCTCGCGCACGTCCGCCAGCTGGACGCGCGCCGTGCCCAGCGCGTCGGCAGTGGCCGCCAGCTCAGCGCGCGCGTCCGCCAGCTGGGCGACGGCGTCGTGGCAGGCGGCCAGCGCGGGAGGCTCGGGGGCCAGGGTCCCAGGCGCGGCGGTCTGCAAGGGGGGGACGCCGGACCCCGCCTCGGCGCGCAGCGTGCCCGCCGTCACGCGGTACCCCTGGTCCAGCAGGTACCGCATGACGATGTCGTTCAGGACGCGCCGCTGCGTGGGGTCCAGCCTCGGGGAGCGCGGCTGTGGGGGGGCCCCTGGCAGGGGAGGGTCTGTGTCTTTGTTCGGGGCCCCGCCGGCGGGCCCTACTGGGGTCCTAGAGCCGTCTGCAGGGCCGCCGCCGTTGGCGCCGTGATGCCCCGAGCTGTGTGCCTCCAGGTCCTCCCTGGCCAGGCGGAGGTCGTACTCCACCACCGCCAGCCTTTCCTCCCGGGCCCGCGCCGTGGCTTGCAGGTCCAGGGCTGGGATTTTGGGGGACGGGGGAGGTGAGAAAAGCTTGCAGCACGTCCAGGCTTAGGGCCACCTAAAACGAGAGCATGGTGGGTCCTCCAGTGGGATTTGACCGCGACACCTGTGACGTGCAGGCGCACACCCACCCAACCCCTCCCAAACCCCACTTCAAACGCTCGGCTCACCTTCACGCCCCGTGAACACCGCCATCTGCTCCGGCGGGAAGAGGGTGGGGTCGGAGAAGAGGTGCTCCAGGGTCTCCACCTCCGCCTCGCGCCCCGCCTCCCCTGCCTCCATGAGCAGCTCCAGCGCGGTGAGCAAGTAATTGCGCTGCAGCAGCCATTGGGACACCTGGGGGGGGAGGGGGGGGCAGGGCGCAGCTTGAATCAGCAGCCTGTGGGCGTGCCCCTCCCTGCAGAGCACCCGCCCATGCGCGCCCCCTACCCCACCTGGTTGGCACTGAGCAAGTGATCGCTGTGGCGACGCTGCACCGTCATCTCCATCTCAGGAATCCTGGGCCTCAACACGCGATCATTTTGGAGGAATTCAAGATGGACTCATCGCGCATCCAGCGAGGCGGGCTCCTGCACAGGGAGGAGTGCGCTCCGGCGCGCACTCCCAGCCATGGGCCGTGGCAGTGCCGCCAAGCTCGCACGCTTAAGGAGCAGTGGTGGAATGCTGCGTATTTTTGAGTCACCTGTTTCACCTTTTGTACTACATCTACCATCTGGTAAGCGCCAGGACGGGGGGTCGCCACATGCCCGGCCCCCCCGATCTCCGCGATCACCAGCTTCGTGGTTCCCAGCGCCTGCAAGCCGCCCACCGCCCCACCCGTCCCCTGTACCACGACATCCCAAACCTTCAGCCCTCCCCCTCCACTAATGGTTTGTGGGATGTACAGCATCAGCCGAGCATCGCGATCTAGGCCTCCACGGGGGCGGGCAGCGCCGCCACCTCCTCCTCCTTGGGCGTGAGGACGGTGACGACGTCGGGCAGCGGTGTGCGAGGTCCGACCTTTCCAGTGGGGTCCCACTCGCGCATGATCTTCACCTTGATGCCCAGCACGCCCTGGCGCAGCAGCACGTGCCGCACCGCGGCGTCGATGTACTCCCGCACAGGGTTGCCGCTGGACACCTGGTACCCGTCCTTGAACTTCATGGACTTGGCGCGCTGCGCGCGCAGCTTGCCGGAGACGATGACCTCGCAACCCTTGGCGCCGGCCTCCATGACGAAGCGCAGCACGCCGTAGCAGGCGCGGCGCACGGCCAGGCCGCCCAGCAGCTTGTAGCGCAGGGACTCGGCCTGGGCCACGGCGCACAGCCCGCGGTTGGCCACCTTCTCAGCATACAGCTCCACCGCGCCCTCAGGGAACTTGAAGCGCTTCTGGACCACGCTGGTCAGCTCGCGGATACGGCGGCCCTTCACGCCTGCAGGGCAGGAGGGGGGAGGGGGGGGGGGGGGAGGAGTTGAGAAGTCGGGGGCGGGAGGGGGGGACAACTTAACGAGCTGGGAGCACCTCCTGCCGGACAAGCTATGGCCAAAGAGGCAACGGTGAGCCTAGGGCAAGGTAGTTTGCCATAGCCTCAAGGGAGAAAGAGTATTAAAGACAGGCAGGTCAAGGGCCTGTCACGGATGCCGGCAGATTCAAGAGGGAGCAAGATCCCCAGTGGGGTCAAAAGGATGGCCCAAAGCCAGTCACTGCAATTATCCATCAATATGATGAACATCCACTTCTAGGAGCGCGCGGGTTCAGAAATATGAGAGTCTCCCAACCTCCCATGTCGGCTGGTCCCCAGCATGAGCTGGGCCGCAGCCCGCCGGACAAAAAAATCGAGATTCCGCGCTCGCCCCACCCCTGCCCCTCCGTGACACCCTCCCAGCCACTCACCAAGCACGCCCTGGGTGCGGGTGGCACGGATGATGATCTCAGTGCGCAGGGGGGTGACGCGCACCTCCACGCCGGAGTACCCATCCTCTGCCAACTCGCGGACCAGCAGCTCGTTCAGCTCCGCGTAGAAGACGCCATCCGCCACAAACTGCATGGAATTCGGGGGAAGGAGAGTATAGGCCCGGCTCCCTCCACGCCCTCAGAGGGCTCTGTGGCAAGTGAGGGGTCCCCGCCCAGAGCATGCCCCTCGCTCCTCCGCTCGCCTTCCTCTTCTTGCTGATCTGCGTCGCCATGGTTGCTCACGACGACGGGTGCAGAGGAGAAACGCAGATGGCTATCGCCGAAAAGGAGGGAGTCAGGCACCCTACCGCCCAGCTCTACCCTGCGGTAAAAGAGCCGCCCTGCCTCCAGGGTCTACTGCCAGGTCGATTTCCGTGATGTGGCACTGGGGAATGATCGAGCCACTGCGATAGCTCATTCACGAGGTCCAGAGTCGCTAGAGACAGCACTGACCTCCTTTAACACAACGTCTGAGCTCACCTCGATGTCCTAGGGCCTGCTGATCCCTCTGTCACTCGCAGGGCCCCGGCAAAGACCCATCGTGCACAGCTGGCCAGCTCGATTCGCTTTCTCGGCCGTCTGTAGCAGCCAAGAACAAGGGCTGCTGATTCAAGTCGCATTGGGGATCCAGGCATGGACATCCCACCCAACCAGACGGTGTACATCAGCAACCTGTACGAGAAGCTGAACAAGGATGGTGAGCACACAGGAAAAGCTGCTCTTGGCGATCAAAATCTTACCGAGAAGCGCATTGCCCATGTCAATTTGTGAATAAAATCTCACTCTGCTACACTGCGTAGAGGCCAAGAAGCTGCTCTATGCGCTCTTCGGCCAGTTTGGGAAAGTGCTAGACGTTGTGGTGATGAAGGGGGCGGCCTTGAGGGGCAAGGCTTGGGTGGTCTTTGCCGACGTCGGCGCTGCCACAGATGCTCTCCGAGCCATGCAAGACTTTCCATTCTTCGACAAACCTCTGGTGCGTGGGGTGGAGGCTTTGGGGTGGTGGATGAGGGTGGCAGGAGCCGAGGTCTGACGTTCTTGTGGCTGGTGCTTCGGGAAATTGCCGCTTCCTTCCTGTGCTGGATCCTGGCCCTGCTAGAAAGCAGCTGTCCTGCCCTTCATGCCATCTAGTGTATTGTGTCGGGATGGCTGCCCCCTTCCTCATGTTGGCATTTGGCGTTTGTGGCCAAGGGCTCCTGCACTGACCTATGCAACACTCACTGCCCTCACAACAGCGGCTATCCTTTGCCAAGTCCAAGTCTGAGGTCATCACCAGGCTAGAAGCCGGCAGCAAGAAGACGAAGAAGGACAAGAAGCCTGCAGAGGCAGCAAAGGACGCCGAGACCGCGCCTGCCCTCGCAAACGGGCGGGGTGCTCATGCCCCATCTGCGACCCCGGCGCAGCGCAGCGTGGACGTCGGTGAGCCAAACCAGACCCTCTTCGTGGAGAACCTGCCCGAGGCCACCACAGCCGACATGCTCTCCATGCTCTTCAGCCAGTACAATGGTGTGTGCCTGGAATGGGCCCTTCGATGATGAGGCTGGGAGGGCCGACTCGGGGGCCGTGCTCGGTATGACCAGGCAGAGAAGCAGTCTCGACTCTTCTGCCACTTGACAAGCTCAGTGGGAGCAGTCGCTGAGGCAGCATGACATGCATCTGTGGAGGTGCCCTGTTGGAAGACGGCCTACTGGTTACCACCACCCGATTAACCCCTCTCCCTTGGTCCACAACAGGTTTTGTGGAGATTCGGATGGTCGAGGCTCGGCCAGGCATTGCTTTCATAGACTTCAGCAACGATGCACAGGTGGGTTATAGATCCCTTGCTCTGGATGAATGTACTGTTGGTGCGAAAGTATGATTCTTGGTATCCTCACATGGCAATCACTGGGAAGATGCAAGGGTGTGGGCACAGTGCAACGTGTTTGCTGGTTGCCCCCGAGGGTGCTGCGAGGGACTACTCACGCGGATCAATCCAAGCCCATCCCCTCTGCAGTCTGGAGTCGCGCTTTCTGGGCTCAACGGGTTCCATGTGACGCCGCAGCATGCTCTGAAAATCACGTACGCCAAGCGCTGACGGAGTGCGTGCTGTGACAGTACTGCTTGATTTGGCCGCCTCTGCTTGTGCAACCCCTCCACCATGCCCTGCTTCCGCTCACCACCCTCCCCCGCTCCCAGCTGTGTAAGTCTCCCGCCAAGAAGTTCAACATCAGGGTTCACCAGAAATGTGCATTAAGCGGCTCAGATGAGGCTTGCCTGCCCGTTTGCGTGTCCCTCGCCGGACCCAGGCTGCTTGGTGGGGCTGAGGGCGGGCGTGGTCACCCTCTCCTCCAGCCCCTGCATGGCGCTGGCCATCCCCAGCGCCCCGCGCAGCAGCGCCGCCGACCGCGTCAGAGCCGCCGCGGCGTCGTGCGTCAGCGACAGGGACACGTCCGCCAGCTGGCGCGAGCTGGGGGCCCGGGGGCCTGCGCACCCCGCAAGCGACGCCCGCTCCGCCTCCAGCCGTTTCCGGAAGGTCGCCAGCCGCGCCTCCACGGCACACACGTCCTCCGCGCAGACGCAATCGTCCAGGGAGCAGCGCCCTAGCTCGGCTCGCAGCGCGCCCAGCGCGGCCGCCACGGCCGAGTCTGAAGCCTCCGATGCCTCGGGGCTGGCGTCGGAAGCGGCGGCCTGCGGAATTACTGGCGGCGCCGCCGTGGCCGCCCAAGCGACATCCGCCCCTCCTCCAGCCCGCCGACCCTCCAGCTCGGAGACGCGGGCCCGCAGCGACTTGATCTCCCGCGCCAGCAGCTTCTGGTCGGCCCTCGCCTTGGCGGCGGCTGCCGCCGCCGCCTGGGTCTGCGCCCGGAGCCGGCCCTCGCACTCTTCCAGCGCCGAAGCAGAGGCCTCGGCTGCGGCATCGGCGGTGGTCCGCTGCATCCTCAACTCGGCCTCCAGCGCCGTTCTACCTGCCGCCGCATCCTCCGCCGCTCTCGCGGTCAGGCGCGCCCTTTCCTCCCTCAGGGCGTCTTCTGCTGCACGGCGCTGGCGCCGCTCGGTCTCCAACTCGGCTCGCACCGCCTCTACATCGTCATCAGCGGCACCTCCGCCTCCACGCTCGGCCACCTGGGCTGCCAGGCTTGCGATCGCCGCCTGGTCCGTCTGGATGCAGCGTGCCGCGTCTGGCGCACGAGGATGCAGGCGTGGAAGGGTTGGAAGCTGTGTCGGAGCAAGCTGCGGGGGGGTGACTCATGCAGGCAGGCAGTGACGCATAGGTGTCCGTGCTCCTGGCCCTCAACCCGCGAAGTGACCAGCGAGAATGGGACATTGAGGCTTCTTAATAGCGCACAGCAGTCGCCTTGGCACCATCACATCCCCCCTGTCCCAAACCCACGCGTAGAAATATTCCCAAGCTCCCACTCCCCACCGTGCAGATCGGCGTGAGCAGTGACGAGGGCACGTCGCAGCGTCTCCACCATCGCAGACAGCCTCGCCCTTTCTTCCACGTGCAGCGTCATGCGCAGTCGGTGCCGGGCCTCGCCCCTGTCAAGGACAGGCGTCTGCGCATGGGCACTGCCTTCCGAGCGGGGCCCGGTTTCTTGCCGCGCTTTGGCGAGAGCTGGGGGGGAGGCGCTTCCTGTGGACTGTAGCCTGGGCCCCAGGTCGCGGCTGCCGCTTACGGAAGCGAGGTCGCCATCTCTCCCCTGTCCTTGTTGGGCAGAGCCTTGCCTGTCAAGCTCAGCGCCAGCCATGTTGCCGCTGCCTTCACGCAGTCCAGATACCTCACCTGGCCCTGCACTCCCTGACAAAGATGGGGAGGCCAGGGAGTGGGATCTGGGCGCCAGCCCAGCCACCGGTGTCCTGCAGCCAAGGAGAATGGGGGTTGAAGGAACTCCATACGCATATTTTTCTGGGCTGCAGGGCTGCACATTGTCAAGTGTTGCGAACTGGCGGGGGGCCCATCGCCATCGCACCCTCCCCACCTGGTGACGGCACGGGCGGTGGTGTCCAGCTCGCAGAAGGCATACATGGCCGAGGAGTTGGCGATGGAGGGGACCTCCGTCAGACGCCAGAGCCACTGCTCCAGCTCCCACCGCCGCTGCTCTATGAGGTCGGGGCGCTGATTGACCCAGGCAAGCGTCTTCTTGGGTGGCGGGTCCAAGGCAGTCAGCGTGGCCGGCCCCAGCTCCTCCTGAAGCTGCCAGGGTAGTGGTGGGGCTGAAAAGGCCAGCTTGAAAAGTCAATCCGAGTTCTAAATGCATCAGGCTGCAGGAAAAAAAAAATGTACCTTCTGGTGCAGAGTGGTGAAATTGGAGAACCGCCTGCCCACACTCCTTCGACGTGGGGGCCCGTCGGGAGGGATCACGGTGACCTCCATCTGCATCTCGTGGTGGATATATGACCCTTAAATAGGGCTCAGAATAGAGCAATGTTAGCGCATGGGTCTGGTATGCCTGCCCTGCCCAGATTTGTGCTTCCCCTGGCGACCTGATAAAAGACAGACGAGTCGCCATCTGGGAGCTCAGCCAGGGACCAGGAAGGCAGTCGAAGTGTATACCTCCAAGCCTTTGCCGTGCGGGTCCCCATTACAAGGCGAGGAAAGTCGATCGCACTCAAGGTCTTGGGATCACTTATGGACCGCCTCCAGTGCTGGTGCAGGCTACGCTCCGATTGACTGCCTCCCACATCCACAGCAACGTCTTCTTCTCAAGATATCACTGAACGGCACTGCAAGAAGCTGTAGTGATGCACCAGCGCGTCGCGAATTTGTTGCGATCTGGACCCTTGCGGAATGGGAATCCACCCGCTCTCGTGGTCACATCGTGGGGGGCGCGGGGGGGCGGCAATGCATCATGCGTCAAAGGCAATACTGGGAGCGACAGGTGGGTGGGGCTCTGGTCGCGTGGTCCCTCCACACGCCCTCAGACCATGGCGGAGGAAGTGGGCTTCGCCCCGGACATCTGTACCGAGGAGGCCGGGTTGCTGTTCAGGTAGGGCTCCTGCGCAGCCACCGCACTGCTCATATCATCCCCCAGCACGAAGATGATGAGGAGGTTGGCCATCATGGTCAGGATGGCCCCTGCGGCAAAGGCCTCCGTGGAGCTCCGCAGTGCCCCGCTGGACGACTTGACAACGGTGAAGGCATTGTTTGTAACCACAAAGAAGAGGGTGGTGACCATGGCCAGCGTCACCATCAGGCCCAGCTTGTTGCTGCCGCGGCGGGTGTAGTAGGCCACCGCCAGGAAGATCAGGGTGAAGAGCTGGAAGAACACCGCCCACCTGAGGGAGGGTAGGGAGGGCAGCGGGGGTTGAAGGGGGGGGTCAGTACGATGAGCAGAGTGCACGGCAGGCTATATGCGATTGGAGGCATGGCGGTTGTGAGGAGCTTGCCAGGACAGAACAGCCCACGGCCACTGGTTGTGAGCCATGCAGGGTGAACGGGTCCTCCATCCACAGGCAGAAACTTACCATGCGAGCTGCGCGTACGCCGTCAGGCAGACATCTACGATGGAATCTGGGTTCTCCTTGTTACAGTTGTACTGCCAGGCAGAGATACCTGCGGTGGGCAAATAAATTGGCGCATGAGCTCAGCAAGCGTCTCAATTACTCGCATCGCATGGTAAAGGTCGTGCGGTGCCCCGAGACTACCCCTCAAGCCTCTAAAATACCACCCACCTCCCAGCAGAATAATCCATGCTATAATGTTGAGACCGAACAGCAGGGAGACAATCGTCGACCGCTGCATGTTGAAGCTTTCCTAGACACCTGGTGTTTCGTAGAGTGTTACATGGGTAAAGAGCTCTGTCCCTCGAGCTTGGTCAATAGTGGATTGGGGCAGCACAGTCCCCTCCGGAAGCATTCGGCTTGTCGAGGGAGAACCCCCCACTGCCCCCCCGGGACTGGAACGGGAAATGCAGCTTTGGAGCACTTACTAGACCCCATCACATGCAATGCTGATCTTTAAGACACCAGCACGACTCCACATACCTGCAGAGCGAGTCGGGGCTCCGTATGGCGTCCGAGGATCCCAGCGAGATGCAGACCCACGCGCTTGGGTCGAGACACCGTGCAGAGAGAGCACGTAATCGCTGTGTGTCCACGATGTACTTAATCAGATGGACGAGTTGATTGCCCACTTCGATGTTCACACGCGATAGTAACGCGGTGGTCGTCGTGGTCGCCTTCCTTTCCATTGGAATCTACACCGTCTTTCGCCTGGGCGCGAGGCAAGACCGGAACGAAGTAATGTGAGCAGCCAGCATCCTTGTCCTGCTGCGATCCCCTGGCAATTAAGAAGCTGAACTGTCGTTGGCTGAAAGATGGCGGAGGAGGGTACCAGCCCGGAGGAGCTGCGGGCAAACCTTCGCGAGTATGAGGAGCAACTTGAGCAGGTTGGAAAATGGTGTGGCACGCCCGCAGCGTAGACAGGCGAGTCGATGAACCTGCAGCCGCCTACATGGGTCTGATTGAACTTTGCACAAACCACAGGTTGGAGGGCTGCTCCTGGATGACCCCCACAACGACGAGTACAAGGGCATATACGAAAGCCTGACCGAGGTGTGCCAGGACGACCTTCATATTGGATACACAATTGGGCTCTGCGGTGCGATGTAGGTGTGTTCTAGATCAGGACTTGGTGTGGGATCCATCCCCCTCGCCCTCATCCCCTCACAGGTCATCCAGCTCACCAAGGAGCTCGTCGCCGAGGGGGGACCCAGCCCATCACAACCCCCGGCCCAGCCCCAGGCCCCCACAGCCGCGGCCCCTCTCATCCACCCCGCGGCCGCCATCACCACCGCCCCGGACCTGCGCCTTCCCTCCATCCTCCCCCCCACCGTGGCCGCGCAGATCAGGTCGGCCCGGCACCGAGCGGCGTTTGCGGGGCAAGCCCCCGCCGCCTGGGCCATCGGTGCCCCCGTCCAGGCCATCTACCGGGAGGATGGGCAGTGGTACAACGGCGTGGTGTCGGCGGTCAGCGTCTCCGGCAAGTTCATCGTCCAGTACGAGGGCTACGACCAGGCCGAGGAGGTGGAGCGGGAGGAGGTGCGCCTACGCGGCGCCGAGGCCAACGGCGGCTACACCGGCGTGGTGGCGCCCAAGAAGCGGAAGGTGAACGAGGAGGTGGCGCTGGAGGAGATGCCCGCTTGGCTCCAGATAAAACCAGAGGGTGAGTCCTGTATGGACTGGACTGGGATCGGGGGTGGTGGGAAGCCAGGGGGGGGGCAGGCGCACAGAGTCTGAGCAGGAGGATGCCCATAGTCCCGCACCTCCTTCGACCCCTGTCGCCCCTCATAATCTCATCTTCCAGACGACGAGAAGGTCAAGGCGAAGAAGAAGAAGCTCCAAAAATCGTACAAGTCGAAGCAACGCTTTGCCAGGATGGACGTTCAAACCAAGGAGAAGGCCAACTCATGGAAGAACTTTGTGTCCGGGAAGGGTGAGATCGGGGTTGGGAGCTGTGATGGGTTATGGTGGTATCGGGATGATAGGTTTCTGCGTGAGGACTGGCCTGCACGATCATCCTTAATCAGGGAGGATGGGGGCAGATGCCATGGGAACAGCTGGTTGGGAGAAGCATTCAAGTGCCTGCATTAACGGCAATGGGAACCCCCATCTCCTACCCCTGCCCTGCAATTTTCCACAGGCTCCAAGAAGAAGCCAGGATTCATGACGGGGCACAAGAAGGAGAGCATATTCAAGGTCCCCGATGGTCTGGGGGCGCGTGTGGGCGTAGTCGGCAGCGGCAAGCCCATGACCGAGTTTGGGCATGCGCGGCGGCACGACTTTGCCGCCGACGCCTGACGGACCGGACGCTCCTGGTTGGTCCTTATTTACTGAATCTACATACCCCCTTCCCTAGCTCATCTGCCCAACCATTACCCTGCTCGACACTTGGCTATCAGGGGAAATGTGCCAGGGGCGGGGGGCCAGTCACGCGTCAGCATGGTGCATCTGATTGGGCTCGGGAGAGTCACCTCCGCGCGCTCCAGGCGCATGCCCTCCATCCCACCCGCCCCTCAGCTCAACGCCGCGGCCACGGCGTCAAAGGCGGCCGGGGCCAGGCTCGTCTCCTGGGCCTTGAACACTGTGGCGACGCCGCGCTGCCCGGGGACGAACCGCAGCTCCAGCAGCAGCTGCGCGCGCTGGCCGGAGGGCAGCCCCGCCGCGCCCGTCACGTACAGTACCTCCGCGCCGGGCACCGACTTGTGCGCCATGACGAAGAGCCTGGCGGCCTCCAGGCTGGCCTGCGCAGCGGGCACGGCGTGGATGACCAGGGGCAGCGTCCGCGCCTGCTCCGCGGCGTCCGGCAGCGCCTGCCACTCGCCCACAAAGGCCTCGGGGCTGGTGCGCCCGTCCTCGCGCAGCAACGCGGCCAGCGGCACGGCATCGGCCAGGTAGAGCACGCCCAGCTGGGACACCTTGATGGCCACCTGCAGCGCCGGGGTCAGGGCGGGCGTGGCCGACGCTGGGTTCTGGACCAGGGGAACCCGCGCTGAGGCCGATGCGCCGGGTGCGACTGTGCGGGAAAGTGGGGCCAGGGTGAGGTGGGGGGGGGTGGATGGGGTTGAGGAGTGGGGTCGAGGCGTGGGCAAGGAACCGGAGCGCTTCAACACAAAGGCGGCCTTGTGCTCTGAGCGCAAAGCAGGCATCCCAGCCGCCAGGCCAGCACATACAACTCACAGGCATCCTTCCCATGAGCACTCGCATCCAGGGCATCCCCCATGTCCACCACCCCGGCCTACGTCGAGGAACCGGAATGGTCTGGGACTGGGGCACCAGGCCCCAGCCATTCTTGTTCAGCTGGATCATGAAGCCGTCCAGAGGAACGCCCGCCCCCGCATTCTCCAGGTGCAGCTGTGGGTTTGGGGGGCGAGCCGACGAGCAGGTGTGAGGGGCGCCCCTCGAGGGGGCCACAGAATGATGGCGGATGCCTTTCCTGCTGCCCAGGCGACGCCCTGGATGTCATCCCCCACCGCTGTTGCCACCCCTCCCAGCTTCCACTGTCCAGTGCCCATGCCCACAGTCCCCACTTTCCTTCCTCTCCCCCCCATTGTCCCTGCACAGAAACTCAAAACCCCCACCTGGTAGGCCAGCTGGCCGCCGGCCTCGCGCTCGACCCCACCGCGGATGACCAGGCCCTTGCCTGCCTCGGCCGCAAGGAGGACCGGGAGGTGGCTGGCGGCGCCAGGCGCCGCGCGGCCGGCGACCGCGCCGAAGACCGCGCCGTTGCTCACGCTGAGCCCGCCCAGCAGATCGAGGACGTCTGGCGCCCCGGCGGCGGCGTGAGTGGTCGGCGCCTGTGTCGGCGCCGGCGCGGCGGCGTCGGCGTCGGCGCCCCCCAGGTCCAGCAAGTCGCCGAGGAGGTCCGGGACGGGCGCGGGCGGCGTGGGCACGTGCGGCGTGGCGGCGGCCGACCCGCCCGCCGACCCGCCCGCCGCCGTCCCGCCCGCCTCGTCCGCGGCGGTGGAGGTCGAGCGGCTCACCCCCACGCCGCCCGCGCCCAGCTGCGAGGCGCGGCGCACGGCCAGGCGCGCGGCGGAGGTGAAGGCCGCGGCGGGGCGATGCAGGACGCTGGCCAGCGAGCCCAGCTCGCCCAGCAGCTCGGCGCGCAGGGCCGGGTCCACGCCGTCGGCGGCGGCCTCGATCACGGGGCGCGGCGCCAGCACCACGTCGCGCGCGGCGTCGGGGTCGGCCGACAGCAGGCGCCAGTAGATGTAGGCGCGGTCGCGCAGGTCGGGGCTGTCCGTCTCCTGCGTCGCGTAGGACAGCACCAGCTGGATCAGGGCCTGCGGCTTCTCGCTGGGCTTCCTCAGGAACAGCTTCACCGTGGCGGTGACCAGCGCCAGCTGCACCCCGGGCGACTCCTCCGGGAACCCCTCCAGGAACTGCTCCAGCAGCTCGTCGGCGTTGTCGATGCGGTCCGCGTACTCCCCGATGATCCACACCATGGCCGCCTTGGCCTCGGGCTCGTCCAGTGCCTCCAGGCACTCGCACAGCGGCGCGATCACGCGCTCGTAGCGCCCCGGGTAGCGCCGGAAGACGTCGCGCAGGACCACCACCGCCTCCTGGACCACGTAGGACACGCGACCCTGGATCAGGTCCAGCAGCACGTTCACGCAGCGCTCCGCGGCGGGCTCCAGCGAGATAGCGCAGCGCCCCACCGCGCGCACCGCCTTGCGCACAAAGTCCACGTCCACCTCGCTGGCGTACTCGCGCAGCTCCAGCAGCACCTTTATAGGTTTGGAATTTCAGAGGTTTGTCAGATGGATGGGGCTGGAGATGATGAAGAGCAGGGGGTGGCAGCATGTCATGGGGTTGGACGAGCCCAGAGGGATCACAGAGAGAGGGTTGAACCAGCAGGTTGAAGCCTCGTTTTCCCCCCACATCCTCTCCCACCCCCTCTTCCCCAAACCCCTACCTGGTCGATGTTCTTCTCGTCCGCCAGCTTGATCATGATCTCCAGCTTCTCGGTCTTGACGTAGATGGGGTCGTTGTACTTGCAGAAGAAGACCTTCACCTCGTGGGACAGGATGCCCGGCACGCTCTGCACGATGAGGTCGATGTTGCGCAGCGCCACATACTGGATCTCGGGCTCGGCGCCCAGCAGCGTGACCAGGGGCGGGGCCAGCTTCTTGTGGATGGCTGCGCGCGCGCCGGCGTCTTCGATGTACTGCGCATGGAGGTGGTGTGAATGGAGGGAGGAGGGATGAGGAGGGAGTTGTGGGCGAGATTAAAGGTGCCTGGGGGCATAAGAAATGAACTCCCCATCTCAGCCTTCCACAGTCCATGGTGTGGACCATGCACGACCGGACCCCCCCCCACACTCCACCGCCGCCAATCCCTCCCCCCCCCTTTACCCGCGCCAACAAACACTACCACCCACCAGCCAGCCAGCTCACCTTGGCTGCGTGCAGGATGAGCTTGATGGCCGACAGCACGACGGCGCCGTTGGCATGCTGCAGGCGTGCAGCCACGCGCTCCACGATGCCCTCGGCATCGCGCGAGTCGGCAGGGGTGTAGGCCGCCAGCGCATCCAGGATGAAGACCTGGCCCCACTCGCTGCACTCGTTGAGGGCGCGGAGGAGCTTGGTCAGCACCGCGCCGTCGATGACAAAGACCGGGCCGGAGGAGGAGGCCTGTATCTCGGCCAGCGCCGCCACCGCGTTGGCCACCACCATTGGGTTGGCGTCCCCCACCATGTCCTGCCATGGATCGGTCGGGATGGAGGGAGAGGGTGGGTGGTTTGAGAGCGGCCGACAGGAAAAGTGGGCATGGCATGGTGCCTGCCAGGCCCATGCCATGGAGAGGGGTGGCAGAACCTGAACCCCACACTCCTTGCCTCCTTGGCACCCTGCTGGTAGTCTGCACTCGGTGCCCAGCCCCCCCCCCCCCCACAAGCAACCAGGCACACCCTGAGCACGTCCAGGAAGCCGCGGTCCTCCACCATCTCGGCGGAGATGTCGTACAGCTTGGCCACGCAGACCGCGGCGGTCTTGCGCACGTAGGGGTCCTCGTCCTTCAGGCAGCGCTGCAGCGGGTCGCACAGGTACTCGGTGATCTTGTCCACCCGGATGCAGCCCATGGTGCGCACCGCCAGCGCGCGGATCAGCGGGTTGGGGTCTTGCGTGTCCTGGAGAGAGAAGGAGAGGCGGGCATTGAGAGGGGTGGTTGAGGGTGGGGATCAGGATCAAAGATCGGTGCGCGCCTGCTGTCTCGCACAGTGACGAATCAACATACCACCTACACATGTCACACGGCACGCCCACCTTGACAAAGGTGTTGACAGCCATGATTGCCAGATCGGGCTGGGTCTTGGCGTAGTTTATCAGGTACAGGTAGACCAGTTTCTTCAGCTCCATGTCTTCGGTCTGCATGCAGTTCACCACATCTGTGCAGTGCAAGGGGCGGAAGGGTAGGATGAAGATCGCACAGAAGGATTCTGCGCAGGGCTGAGAAAGGCTGGCAGTGGACAGGCAGAGCCTCGTGACAAGCGCCAGGGAACCAGCAAAGCAGTAACTCGGCGAGATTGGGGGTCGAACACGAAGATTACTTCTGACAATATCCTCTCATGACGAGACAGGCAGGCCTGAGAGACAGGATTCCCCTCTACTATGCGTGCCTGGGAACAAGGAGCTGACGTCCTTGCCCACGGTCATCGCGGCAATGACGCGCTTGACCGCGTTCTTCTGGGACTTGCGATCCAGGCTGTGGAGATCATTCTTGTACTCCGCCACCTCCCCTGAGGCAATGAGAGGGCCGCTCGGGCTGGGTGGAGGGCCCCACTGCACACGGCGGAACCGCTGCTCAGCGCCAGCGATCCCACCCCAACATTCATGCCCCGTCCCGCCCCTGCAAAGCGATTCTGGGGCGTGATCAGGGATGTGCCGCGTCATCCCCCCATCTCGCACCCTTCTTGGTGGTGGAGAAGAAGCGTCCGTCCGCCATCCCGGTGCGATCACTCCTACGCCAGCCAGGCAAGGTGGTGAGCCTCTGACCGTGCCAGGCGCTCGGCGTGTGTCCCTTCACTATCACGGTCTCAGCGGCCCCTGTCCGTCCAGACCGCAGAGGTGCTCTCCCGAGGGACCGGAGGTCAACTGCTCGGTGATTTTCGGTCCGACAGCACGCAAACCACGACCATGAAGGTTGTATATGTGAGCATGTTGCGAGCCACATGCAGGGATTTGCAATCCATAGGTGTGCTGTAATACTCCGTCGCATTGAATATGTAAACAGTCTATTCTCCTCTGCGCTTGCAGGCACAGCTCGTGGTGGGCGTGCCTAGGACCCCCCAGAGCGGGGCGAGGGAGGCGCACACGCCGGTGCCATGGATTTGGCCTCCATTCAGACGGTGATCGAAGCGGCCTCCAATGCCCTCGAGAATTCCCACACGCGTCTGGAGGCAGAGCGCACGCTCCTGGACTTCCGCTGCAGCCCCTCCCCCCTCGCAGCCTGCCAGCACATCCTCAGCCACTCCAGCATGCCGGCGGCCCAGTTCCAGGCGGTCCTGACCCTGCGAGACGCCAGCCTCCGACTCTGGCCCGAGCTGGGGGCCCCAGAGCGCCAGGGCGTCACCAGATTCGTGCTGGAACAGGCCCTGCACAGGTCTCGAGAGTCCCTGTCCCTGGTGCGGTCCCAGTGCGTCCTCACCGCCGCGCAGCTGGTCAAGCGCGGGCACGGTGATGCCAGCCAATCGGATCTGGGGCTGGAGGGCCTGGTACGGGGCATCGTGCACCGAGCCCTCTCCACCCGGGACCTGCATGAGCAGCGCACGTGCCTGGAGCTGCTGACCGCACTCACCGCGGAGTGCAACCCGCAGTCGGCCAGCCCCATGGAGAAGCCGTGGTGAGCCCTGCACCTGCTGAACCCTGGAACTTTGAGGTGGCCTGTCTGCCTTGTCGATGCAGCGTTGGGAGATTGGACACCCCTGTGGTCGCTTTGTCGCAGCCCTGCGCATCCTAATGATGAGCCTGTGCCCCTCCGCTCGAGGCCCCATCCCTCCCTCTTACCATCACAAACAGGAGCTGGCACGACAAGGCTCGCCAGGACTTTGAGCGCGGCGCCCTCGCCGAGGTCGCGCTGTGCGCGCTGCGCGTTGGTGCCGCGGCCGCGCCCGCCGCCGCGGCCCACGAGGACCAGGGCGTCGCGGCCGCCGCGCTCACCACACTGTGCGCCGTGCTGAGTTGGGGCTTTACCTCTGGGCGGGAGGCCCTGATGATGCACGTGAACACCCAGCTGGGGGACCGCCCTGGCGGGGATGGGAGCCGGAGGGGCCCCAACCGGCTGTCGCAGGAGGTGCATGCCGTGCTTTCAAGCCCGGGCGCCCTGGACTGGTGTCTGCACCTCTCGGCCGCGCTCAGGTAGGATGCTTTTTGGTTGTGTGTGTGGGGGGGAAGATCCTCGTAGGTTCCGGTGGCTTGGCATGCTCAGACAGGATGCATCTCATAAGGGGGGTTGGCAGGGCATAGCAGCTGCTCGGGTACCACTGAGTGGCCCCATCACATGTTGCCTGTACTTTGTCATTGTCAAGGGTATGACAATGCTCGATGGCTACCCCGCCGGGAGATGACGTGACCGTGCACCTGTCTTACATGTCACAAGCGGGCCGCCTCAGCACGGGAACCAAAGAGTGCAGACCTGCATCAGTTTCATCTTTCCCCACTGATCACTCCACAACATCCTGCGCAGCGGCCCACCAGCATGCGACCGGGAAGCTGCACGCGCCATGCGGCAGCTGGCGGTGCACCTGGCACAGACGAGCGAGCCCCTGGGGCCCCACCGCCCCGCGCCCACCTACACCGCCTGGTCCCTGCGCCTCGCATTCCAGGCGTGGCTGTGGCCGCCCGGCGCGGCGCTGGACCGCGCCGAGCGAGGCACGGAGGAGGAGTTCCTGGACGGGTGCAGGGTTGTAGCGGCTGCGGCCGCCGCCGCCCCGGTCTCGGCCCCCAGGCTGTGGGACTGGATCGAGCCCGGCGAGGGAACCCAGACCCGCATCGCCGCCGCGGCGGAGCTGACGTGTGCCGTGTTGTCCACGCTGGCCTCAGACCCACAGCGCGACGATTGGCTGACCGAGGCCGGGCGGACGCTGGTGGACGCCTGGGCCGCGCTCGCAACGGGACTGGAGGGCGTCCAGGGCGGTGCTGAGGCCGCGACTGCGGTCTTCGAGGCCGGCCTGCGCAGGGGCCTGGCCCTTGCTGCAGCCGAGGCCACCCAGGACGAAGGTGCGTGCGTGATTGCGGTGAGGGCCGGGCATGGCTTTCTGTGCGAGGCGTCGTCCCACCTCCTGCTGATTGTCTGCAGACTGATAAAGTGCTGCAAGTGTTGTTTAAATTACTGAGAGGTGCGGGCTGCGCGGTGCTCCTCGGAGCTATTCCCACGTCCTTACCAGGCATCCTCCGGTATTGGTCCTAGTTCTCACCACCGTTCCCTCCTGTCTTCCATATCCCCGTCCGCCCAGACGAAGCCGGCGAGCACGCCGAGGCCGCCACGCTGGAGCACGACCTCGCGTGCCTGGCCGCGATCGGCCGGGGCGCCGGCGCCCCCGTGCTCGCCGCCGTCTCGAGCGCCCTGGTGGACGCCCGGTCCCGGCTGGAGGCGGCGGTGGCGGCCGCGAGTGACCCATCGATCCCCCTGGAGCAGCTGTGCTGGCTGCTCCAGGTGGCTGCCGCGCTGCTGGCCGACGCGCCGGGGGCCGACGCCGGGGACAGCCCCGCCTTGCCCCTGGCCTGGGATGCGATGAGGGACGCGGCGGCGGCGGCCTCCATGCAACTCCTGGCTGTCGCCCAGCTCTGCGTCACGCACGGCGGGCACGACGCCCTGAGCCCCCGGTATGCTTTCTGATCGGGAGGTTGGGGAGGGCAGTGCCGGATGGGCCGAGGCAGTCTGATGCCTTCCCACCTCTGCCAGCCTGGGGAGTGGACAGAACAGCTCATTTTCATCAGGGCCTGACCTCCCGCCCGCACCCCACACATCACAGGCTGCTGGAGGTCACATGCGTGAGCCTGGGAAGGTGGGCAGCCACCTGGTTCCCCACCGAGGCCAGCCTGCCGCCCGCCAGCGGGGCGCAGGACGCTGACGTGGCGCAGCTGCTCGTCCAGCTCGCGAGGACGGCCTTCCTTGCGTACCCAGGGGAGACCGCCCTGCACAAGGTATGTGGTGACATGCTGGCGCACTCTACAGGGTCTGCGGGAGTGAACATGCTGCGCTTGTCCCATACAGCGGCAGTGCAGGTGCGCGCCGCAAGCTTGCCCCCCCTGTTTCTCCCGCTCCCGCACTCCCTTTGTCATTCTTTTCCGCCCTCGTGCTCCCCATCCGCGCCCTTCTCATCAAGCTCAAACCCTCCCCCTTTCACCCGCCTTTTCGCAGAAGGCCAGCCGCCGCCTGCTGCGCGCGCTGCCGACCAGCGCCCCTGCCGCCGCCACTCTACTGCGCTGCGATTCCTGGCTGGATCTGTGCCGGGCAGTAGCTTCCCAGGAGCTGCTGGTCAGCGCCGACGTCGCGCGCCCGCTGCTGTGCGCGCTGTGCCTGGCCGCCAAGGGGGACGACGCCGAGGGGGCCGCGGCCTACGTCCGCCACCTGGTCCAGCCCAGCGTCGATCGCCTGCAGGTGGTTTGGGGTTGGGCAGGGGGTCCTTCTGGGGGTGGGTCGGTAGGGGTGCAGCACCCGCTGGCGCCCGGCCGACGAGATGTTGAAGGGGCCGGGAGACGCGCCATTCACGAGCGCCAACTTCCAGACACGAGCATGCCATTCCCATGAATCATCCCCACCCCCTCAAAACTGACCCAGGAACTGGCCGGTGATGGCAGGCGGGACGTGCTCTGGCGCGCGGATGTCACGCCCCGTGTCCTGTTCTGGCTGGAGAGCGTGAGGGGGGCAATGCAGGGCACCTGTACTGCCAGCGTCAGGCCGCTGACCGGCGCTGCGCAGCAGCTGGCCAGGCCCCTCTCCCTCCTGCTGCCCGCGTACCGGGGTCAAAGCGAGGTGACCACTGCGCTCCTGAAGCTGGCGGCGGCGGTGGGCGAGAACCTGCTGCCCCTCGTCACGGATGTGAGCGCGGCATGCCTGCCGCTGCCCGGGAAGGGGTGATGGGGAGGGAGGCTGGGACAACGGGTGGGATGTGCTAGGAGCTGGGATCCAGCATGGCACTGGTCAGCAATCTGAAGTCTCATCTCCTGGCCGTGGCTCCCTTTCTCATGCAGGCCCAGGTGGCGTCCCAGCTGTCATCCTGGGGCCTGGATCTCCTGCGCACCCATGCGAGGCATGCTCAGGTACGCCAGGGGAAGACTGCAGGAACTTGCTGCAAGCTGGTGACGAGCATGTGACCCTGCTTGAGCCTGCTCTCTCTGTCACTCCATTCCATCAGCATTGCAGTGCCAGACACCCGTGAGGGTACTCTGTTCCCTGTGCACGCCGGCCTGTCCTGCTGACATGCCCAGATCTATCACCACCGCAAAGTTGGCAATCCAGGCATCAGCGTGTGCCTTCCTCTAAGGGAGCAAATAGCCCCCCACACCCAACACACCTAAACACACACACACACACACGTGCAATGCAGGGCGTCTCGGATCTGAGTGTGCGTCAGACCGAGGTGCAACGGGACCTTCGCGCTTTCCTGAAGCTCCTGGCGGCCATGGCGCGCAGTGGGTCGGCAGAAGCCGGGCCTGCAGCAGAGACGGAGCTTGTCCAGGTGGGGCGGCATAGCACTGCATGCATTTTGTTGCGCTTGCACACCTGCACCTGGCATGGCATGACCATGTGCATGGTGGAATCATCATGAGGGACTCTCTCTGTCACCCCTCCTCAACAAATTCTCAGGTTGTAGCTGAGGGGCTGGGGACCATCATGCCGCTCCTTCCCCCGGACCTGCCGGCGCACCCCAAGCTGTGCCACTCCTTCTTCGACACCGTTGCATTCATGCACGAGGTCAGTGAAGTGTGGTGAGAACCTTGTGCAGGCAGTGCTGCACTTTGGGCCGCTCTCTGCTGCAATACATTGTCCCCCCCCCTTGAGCACACCCTAACCTTTGATAGAGCACACCCACCAACCAGTCCCATATCCCATCCGCCACAGACCTTCCCCGGCGCTATGGCGAGCCTGCCGCCGCACGTGTGGGGCGCCCTGGTGGGCACCCTGTTCCAGGGCCTGGGCATGGCGGGGGGCGGCCTAGCTCTGACCCAGGTGGTCCTGGACGGTCTGGCCGCGCTGGCCACCTTCCACGTCAAGGATGCGCTGGCGGGAGGAAAGGGCGTCACGGACAGCAATGTACCCGGCCCAGGTGGGGGGGGTTTCAAGGGCTGGGCTGGACTCTGCGAGCAGGCCAACGCTGCTGTTTCTCCATGACCGCTCTCGCCTATCCAGCGCTCAGACCCATCTCCCCTTCCCACACCCCGCCCTCAGGTCGGGAATGGGCTGGCTGCCACTCTCCGCTGGCTGCGCTGCTGGTCCGCGCCCTGCAGCGCGTCGTGTTTGAGGAGCGCGGCGCGGACGTGGTGGCGGCAGCCGCGCCGGCCCTGCTCCCCCTGGTCATGGCAGAGCCAGAGGCTGTTCGCGCTTTCCGGGCTGACCTTGTGCACGGCATCGAGGACCCCCAGCAGCAGGTCGGTGCAGGACGTGGGTGTGCGTTCGGGGTTGGGAGGACTTGTGATCAATGCTGGTGCTTGGGTCCTGGCCTGCTCAGACCAGCTTCTCTGCCATGGGAGGTACAGAGCACCGGCTGCCTCACACACTCTGGGTGCCACACTATGCTTGATGTTCAGCACCTCCCTGCACCTGCTCCGAGACAAACAATGCTTGTGAACCCTCCCCATCCCCCTCGTCCCAGCGCCTGGTTTCTGTGGCATGCGAGAGCCTGGTCGCCGACCTACCCCAGGCCCTGAACCCCCGGGCCAAGGCCCGTTTTCTCTCCCAGCTGGAGAGCTTTGCGGAGGTGGCCCGTGCCGCGGCCCGCCGCAAATAGTAACGTGAAATGCCCGGGTGGCAGTGGGCCTGGCCGGTGTGCACACACCCCGGGGATCGGCCCCCCTTCCCTTCCCAGCTACGATGTACTGTGTGTCGCAGCCGTTTGCTCTGAGCATACAAGGAACAGATGGAAGCAATACATTGAAGAGAAGGAGGAAAATGGACTCGAGTACGACAGTGGGTTGGGTCATACCCGCAGACAGAGGGAGGGTCAGACGTAGCGCCCTCCCTTCCGTATGGACACCCTTCAGAAGCCGCCCGGCTTCCTCCAGCGTGAGGACCAGTTGCTGGAGGCGGAGGAGAAGAAAAAGGAGTCGTCCTCCTCCTCGTACTGCCTGTGGAACCAGGGCTCGGCGCGCCAGCCCTGCTGCGCATGCTGCGTCCAGGCCGTGCCCATGGGCCCGAAGGGAGGCCGCGCTCCCTGCCAGTGCTGCGCGGGCGTTTGGGACCTTCCCTCCAGCTCCCGGTCCAGCGCCCTCCTGGCAGCCGGATCGGTCAGCACCTCGTGCGCCTCGCCTGGGAGGGAGGTGTGATGGGATCGTGTGATGCACGGGGTGTGGACACGAGGCAGGGCCTACTGCGACGCGGACCATGAGGGTACCAGCAAGGCAGGGAGATGGAGCCTCCATGGCACCATGGCCCTGGTGACTGCCGTACACCACAAACATACCGACCGCGCCGGATCTCCACCCACCTTTGCCCAGCCTCTCAGGCCAACCCCCACCCCTTTCACCCCCCATCACGCACTCAGGCACTTGAAGAGCCAGGTGGCTGCTTCCTGCAGGCTCTGGCGCAGCTCGGTCTCCTGGTCCTCCTCTATCACCGCCCCGCAGGAGCCCAGGCTGGCGCGGCACCGCACCGCCCCCGCCGTCTTGTCCGGGTGCAGCTGCAAGGCCAGGCGCTTGAAGGTGCGGCGCACCTCCTCACCGCTGCAGTTCGCCGCCAGGCCCAGCAGGCGGTAGTGGTCCGGCGGCGGCGGCGCCTCGCCCTCGCCACCGCGGCGCATCATGCCGTTTGAGCGCGGCGCGGCGGCGCGCTGCGCCGCCGCCAGGCGCGTCTGGTAGCCCTTCTTCTCCGCGGGGGTCGCACCGCGGCAGGCCAGCGCGCGACGCAGGGCCTCGGCCGCGTCGGCGTGGCGCCCGACCTCGCCCAGCGCGGTGGCCAGGCGCGAGTGCGCCTTGGCGTAGCCGCGCTTCAGGCACGCGGCGCGCCCGCTGTCAGCCACCGCGAGCGCCAGCCGGCCGGCGCCCAGGTGCGCCGCCGCGCGGTTGCAGTGCAGCACCGCCGCGGCGGCAGGGGAGAGCGTCGGCGCGGCCAGCGCGCGGGCATAGGCCTCGGCCGCCGCGTCGAAGCGCCGCGCCGCCACGTGCTCGTTGCCCTCCGCCTTGGCCGCCAGGACCGCGCTCAGCCCAGCCCGCAGCTCGTCCACCTCGGCGTCAGGGGGGACGGGGACCAGCCAGCGCAGGAGCGCCGCCGACGCGGCGCCGGGGCCCTCGGAGCCAATTCCCTCGCCGTCCCATCGGGCCAGGCCGCGCAGCGTGCCCAGCGCGCCCTGCGCCCCCTCCAGGTCGCCGGCGTGGAAGTCGGCCTGCGCGGCGACCCAAAAGCGCCAGGGCGCCGGGGTCGCGCCGGAGCCGCGCCCGGGGTGCGGCGAGTGCACGCCGCGCCCACCCGCGGCGCGCGCGTCGGCCCAGCGCGCGCGCCGCAGCAGGCACAGCGCGCGCGCCGCCAGGAGCAGCTGCGAGTGGGGCACCGCGGCGTGCGCCGCGTCCAGCCGCCGCAGCAGCGACAGCGCGTCGGCGGGCGGCCGGGGGGCCGGCGGGGGAGGGGGGGCGGTGGTGGGGACTGACCTTGGTGACTCCCCAGATACCCTTTCCCCAAGGTACCTGGCCGCCAGGTCTGCGGGGACGGGGCGCCGCACCACGCAGGTCAGCAGGTCCAGGACCTCGTGCGCATGCTCCGCGACCTCGGCCGCCTTGGCCTGCACCGCCGGGTCTGCATTCGATGGAGGTTTTGGGGCGACTGAAGCAGCTGGAACAGCCTGCCGCGCTGTTGAGTACACGACCAAGAAGTAGTCTGGGACGTTGCCGAGCCACGCAAAGGATCGGTCCGCCGCCAAGAACACCACTGGTGACTCTGAACAATCACCTTGATCCAGCCACCCCTCTTCACTCTGCAGCCTGCCAGCCCAACAAAGTACACGTTCCCCAGACAGCCACCCACCGCCGCAGCAGCCAGCACCCACCCTCGGGGTTGCACCCAGCGGCTTCCAGGTCGCGCAGCGCACCCAGCGCATCAGGAAACTCGCCCATGCGCATGTAGCAAGTGGCCAGTCGGATGCCGCAGCGCACGTGGGAGGGGTCGTGCTGCAGGAGGATCATATGTAGGGGAAGGATGAGAGCCAGAGAACTAGCAGTGGCGACTAGGGATTCGGGCTCCAAGCTGAACATGCAGGCAGGTCTGTATCTCTAACTTGAGATGCACCCAGTGAGCGACACTCAGACGGATAATTCGGCATCTCGTCCCCATACCTTGAGGCCAAGGATGCAGTCTGCCACGGCCTCCTCCGGTCGTCCGATGCTCAGCCAGGCGGCCGCGCGGTTGGCGAGCAGCGGTGCGAGTTTGGCGCGGAAGGCTTCAGCGGGCCGCAGCGTCTCGATGGCCTGTTGCGAGGTGCGATGATGCGCGCAGGTGGGTCAGTGCGTTCATGAGGGGACCGGAAAAGGCGTTCCCTTTCCCTTGCACCCAGCCACAGTGCAGCCGCTCTAAGCCTTGGATCAGCAGCCTCGGGTACCTGTGTGTAGGCCTCCCGAGCGTCCTCCCAGCGGTGCTCCCCAAAGGCTGTGTTCCCTGCGCGCCGCAGCCTTTCGGCGGCGACCTCGGCCGCCTGCCGAGCCTCCACGATTGCGGAGTCTTCAGGCGGCGAGCGGGAGGCATGCCGCGCTGCTCGCAGCAGGAAGGAGGGCGGCTGGGGCAGGGGACCCGCCGAAACAGAAGACACAGGTTGTGTGGGGGATGGTGACTGCGGTGGGGACGGCGTAGGCACGGAGTGAGCCGCCTCCTCCTTCTCTGCGCTCGCGGCGTCAAAGTCAGCGACCGCTTCCAGGATCTTCTCCCAGGTGACGGTGCCATTCGACGCCCCCAGGCTAGCGATTGGCGCCGGCTTCTTGCCAGACCCAGGGGACTTGGGTTTTCGAGCGCGCGCTGGCCTGGCATCCTGCGCCGCCGCCCCAAACACAAATCCTCCTTCGCCTAGTGCTGGAGGCTGTGCGGCATCTGGCGGGGAGGCACTCGGGGCATCACTTGGGGCCGCGGCTGTGGTGAAGCGTGGCAGCGGGGCAGCCGTGGGGGCTGGATCGGCTTGAAAAGCTGGTACAGTAAAGGAGAAGGCCGGCTGTTCGACAGGGCCAGTACTGGGAGCAGCGAACGAGAAGGCCGGCTGCGCTGCGGGACCAGGATTTGAGGTACCCGTGAAGAAGGCTGGCGCCGCACCAGGGCCAGGGTTTGGGGCAGCTGTAAAGAAGGCGGGCGCCGCAGTAGGGCCAGGGTGTGGGGCAGCTGTAAAGAAGGCTGGCGCCGCAGTAGGGCCAGGGTTTGGGGCAGCTGTATAGAAGGCTGGCGCCGCACCTGGGCCAGGATTTGGGGCGGCCGTAAATAAGGCCGGTGCAGCGGCAGGGCCAGGGTTTGGGGCAGCTGTAAAGAAGGCTGGCGCCGCACCTGGGCCAGGATTTGGGGCGGCCGTAAATAAGGCCGGTGCAGCGGCAGGGCCAGGGTTTGGGACCGTGGAAGAGGCTGGCCGGGCAGCAGGGAAGGCAGGCGCTGTGGCTGCCTCTGTGGAGCCCTGGGTCATCTTACTGGGCTGCGCTCCACCTGGATCCGAGCCTGGCCAGCGGGGCGGTGGGTCTTCCCCGATCCTCACGCCCGTAGGCCAAGGTGGCCGGCTCCGGGACGCCACATCGGAGTGGCCAGCCGAGGTGGGGCGCGCCCCGGGGGTCTCGAACATCAACTTGGCCGCCACTGCATCGGCGAGCGCCTCAGCTGCAGGGTATGGCGACCAGGCCATCGACACGGCGCTGCCCGGGAGGCCAAAGCCCCCGCCAGAGTTCTCCGGAAAGAGGGGGGTGCGGGGTCCAGCCCTACCACCGCCCCCGCTGCGGTTCCCTGAATGGGGCCTGGACTTCCTTTGAGCTATGCCGGCGCCTGGAGTTAGGCCCATGGGGGGTGGTTGAGAGACTGCCCTCGTCGTCTGGATTCCACAGCTCCATCGAGCACGTGATAAGGACCTTGAAATTTACCATGGGCATTTACCTGGCGTGGAGAAGCTAAAGCCCGGCTCCTGTTCCGCTTGGGCCGGGATGGCAGATGAAGCCTCCCCCCCTTGCCTTTGCACCCTGAGACGAGGTCGGGACGTGAAGGCATTGCTGCGCTCTCCAGCTCCTGCTTCGGCACCAAAAGTAAAGGGGGCAGCAAAGGAAGTCCTGGGTGCGCTCTGGACGCCCGCATCACTTCCTGACATCCCGGCACGGCCTCAGGGCGAAGGGTTTGAGGGTCTCCTCTTTCGACACTTAGGGCCAGCAGCTACCAGGAGGGCCAGCAGCTTCAGGCATGGTGTTCGTCATGTCTGATCAAGACTGACATATCCACGAAGCGTTGTAGCTCTTGGTGGGATCAGTGCCCATCATCACACCTAACACACCTTCCTGCCATTTTCAATTCGTGCATCGCCCAGGCGGGAATCCGAGGGCGCGGAAGTACGCCCGTGTGCACGAAGCGAAAGCTCCGACGAGGGTGTGTCAGAGCAAACTCGCGTTGTTGTCAACACTTGGACAACATGGCGCTCAGCAACGAGGTCGTGTAGGAGCTCGCTGGGGCCCACTTCCGAACCTGCAGCAGTAGTTGACAACCAACACGGAGCAAAGTTCGAGCGGTGTCAGTGGGCCAGCACACCTCTGAGAATTGTCCAGCAAACTGGTTTCTGTCTCTGGTGGCTCAGCAAGTGAATCCAAGGGCGGTCGGCTGCTAGGGAGGGGGCGGGATCGCCATGGTTGGCCACCAGGTCATACTACCGGAGGGGTACAGGGACGCCAAGTTGGGCATGATCATCGCCGCAACGATAGGAGAGATAGTGCAAGGTGAGGCCAGGTCTTGCGTGCAGGAGCAAGGCGAGGGTAAGGCAATGCTTGGTTCGCCTGTGCATGTCCTTGACTGAGCGGCGGCGTCCAATGCTCAAGGTTGCCAATTCTCTCTGACTCTCTGATAGGTGGCCTCTTCTTCGGATGGAACGCTCTGTGAGTCACAAGAGTATGCATGATTTTTGGAGCTGACTGGATGCTCTGCAAGTGCTGAGTCCCTGAAGCGCTGCGGCATGTCGCCCTCACAGAAAGTGGTTGTTCATGGCTGGCCATTCTACTTGGTGCAGGGGCATCATGATAAAGGACCTTGGAAACTACGCTGATGGGTGCGACCCTGATCAAGGTGAGAGTGTTTTTGAATATTGCTATGGTGATAGGGGGAAAGGGTTAGGGACTGACCAATGTGCCAATGACCCCCAGAGCCTGACGAAAGCTCCTCGATTGTCTCATGCCCAACAATGCTGCTGCCTGCAGAAACGTTGTGTAAATCCCAGGAGTCCAAGCTGGCTGTCCTGTGGACAGTGGGCATCTTTGCATTGAATTGCGGGCCGGTGCTGGTCGGCTTCGTGCTCGACTACTGCGGCCCCAAATTCACATGCATCGTGGGTGCGTGGGAGGGCATGTGGTCTTTGAGGGTGATCATCAAGAGGGTGGTCAGTGGGAGCAGACGCTTCTTGACGTTTTGCCCAACCTATTTTCCTTCGCCTCGTTTCACAACCCCACACCCAAGCCCCCCCCCCCATGTGCAGGCAGCCTGCTCAACATCCTTGGCCTCATCCTGTTTGGCGTGTCCCAGTCTTCCGGCCCCAATGCCTTCATCCCGGCCTCCATCTTCCTGGGCCTGGGCGGCATCACCTTCCACCTGGCCCAGATGCACGCCTCCGCGCTGTACCCAAGGAAGCGCGGCATGCTCACCGCCGTCTTCGTGGCGGGGTTCACGGGATCTGGCATCATTTTCTACCTCCTGCTCCTGATATTCCAGGCAGCAGGCAGTACGAGGTTAGTTGCGAGAGGGGCCCCAGAGGGGTTCCGTGGGGCGTTTCTCTCTGGAACTCCTGTGCTGAGTGAGAGCATGATGATGCAGGGCCTTCCCACCAGCGCCAAAAAACACTTGAGAAACTCCCCCCACCCCCACCCCCCCAAATTTCTCCTGCAGGGCGGCGTACATGGGCGTGCTGATGGGGTATGCGGGGCTCTGCGCGCTGTGGATCCCGCTGAGCGCATGGATGATGCCAAACTCCCCCTTCCGGGTGGGCCAGGTCTACCTCCTCACTAGCAAGTGGAGGTTTGAAGTGCGCCAGCGCTCAGGTGCGGGCTGTGTGTGGGAGGAGGTGTTTGAAGTCTGGCTATATATCAGGGTGGGAGGAGATTGAGGTGCAGGGGGGACTGCCAAAGCATGCCACGCATGGTTTTGGGCTGCTGTGTTATACAGCGATGTGAAGGGTCAGGTGGAGGAGTCATGGCCCCTGACATGCTCTTGAGCAGGCTTTGCAATCAGACTGAGTTGTTCAGCACTCTGGTACTGCATCCCACACCACCCATCCGCAATCACCCACGCTGCATCCCACACCCTTTTCATTCGCCTGCCTCCTCTGCAGACCTGGAGATCCACTACAGGAGGACAACGTCGCTCCAGGATTTCGTGGCGGCCGGCGGCGGCGGCGCCGCGACCATGGCGAAGCCCCCGGCCCCCAACTCGCCACCTGTGGTGGAGCTGATGTCAGCACCGCCCAGCGGTCGCGATGCAGTGCGCTCCAACCTCATCTCAGCCGGAGTGCCGGACAGCAGCAACCCCTTCTGGCAAGAGGAGGAGGAGCACTCGCGGAGCGGCATCAGCGGGAACGGCGGGGCGGCAGTGGGGTGGGGAGCCTTCTCTGGTTCCCCGGGCCCGCATGGCGCTGGGCCTACGCAGGCCAACGGCAGCGTCTTGGGCGTCGCGCAACAACAGCACGCTGACCCTTACGCGGCGGCTGAGGGCGCTGCGCAGGCCGGCGACTCTCTGGGCGGCGGGCAGAGGCCTGGCCTGATCACGGACCAGGCGGGTTTGCAAGGACTGGATGGCAACCGGGGCCCCCCCAGCGCGGACCCCTTGACCGACCCCTCGCCCCTGCCGCATGGCGTGGTGTGGGGGCCCCTGGTCTTCGAGGCTCGCCGTTTTGTGGAGCTCCGCAAGCTGTCCTTCCTTGGTGCGCTGAGGGCTGTGGCAGCATTCGGTCTGGTTGGGGACTTGGTCGTGTGTGTGGTGATGCCCTGCACGGCACCATGGGAGGAGTGACACCCAAGCCCTGCATCCGTCCTTCACCCACCTCCACTCACCATCGCCACAGAGCAATTCAAGTCTTCCGAGTCGTTTGGGATGGGGCTCTTCTACACCCTCAACGTGTTCACCATGCAGTTTTACCTGGGTGAGGAGCAGGCATTGGAGGGGTGAGAGGCTCTGCATGCGCTTGTGCGCTGAGCGTCACCGACCGCATGGCACAAGAAGGGGGGGTTCACTTCTGTCGCAAGGGTAAGAACGTGCACAGCACACCATCATGCTGTTGTTCCGCCCACGCGCGTGCACACGCCCTGCCCCTGAAACCCCCAGGGACGATGCGACTGCAGCTTTCGAACAAGGGCAGCAATGCCGAGACCTACTCCAACTTTGGAAACGTGGTCGTGGCGTTTGCGTTCCTCCTCATCCCCGTCATCGGCTGGCTCCTGGACAAGAAGGTGTGTGTCATGGGAGCCTGGCTGAGCGGGCCTTGAGGCCCAAGAGGAGGGAGGGGAGGGGAGGGCCGGGCGTGGACATGGCAAATCAGTGGATGGAACGCCTGCTGGAGAGGCCTCGCGCCAGCGGGGCGGTCGGAGCCCATCGCCAGTTGCGTCGTTCCTTCCCCGCCTTGCCAAGTCTGTCCATCATTCACGCCGACCTCCCACGGGTGTATCCCTTGCTTCTCCCACAAACCCGCCCGTCCACAAACCCTGTTCAGGGCTACGGCTCCACACTGGGCTCCATCCTGGGCCTGAGCGTCCTGACCCTGGTGCTGCAGGCCCTACCCTCGCTCCCGCTCCAGGTGGTGACCATCCTGATCTGGATGACCGCCCGCTTCTTCATGTACGCCTCGTACTTTGCCATCTTCGGCGCGCTCTTTGGCTTTCGAAACTTTGGGCGGCTGGTGGCCGTGGACAACATCTTCAACGGCCTGTTTGGGCTGCTCCAGTACCCGCTCACCTACCTGGCCATCCATCCCCTGAACGGAAACTTCATGTGGGTCAACCTCGGCCAGGTGAGTGGGTGGGTGGGTGGAGAGGGGGTGTGGGGGGCCCCCCCCCACGCACCTGTCATGCCCCTTCACCACTGCCATGTGCATTGCCCCTGTTGCGTCATCACCCAGGCCCCTTGGCCCCCCTCACCCCCAACCTCCACACCCCAACACACCACAGGCGGCGTGCCTGATCCCGCTCTCCTGGTTCTGCGTGGCCATGTACCGCTGGGAGCGTGAGGACCTGGTGCCCATCCGGCCGCTGGAGGGGGAGGAGCTGCCCTGCGACATGCTGGGCCACCAGGAGCGCAAGAAGCTGAAGGACCTGCACCTGCCCAACCTGGGCCTGGGCGAGCTGAGGATGCCCCACGTGCAGCTGCCGGAAGCCATCCGGAAGCTGACGCGATCGGGGACGCGGGAGCGTGAGGTGGAGGTGTGAGGAGGAGGACTCCTGCGAGAACACGTCTGGCACACGGCTTCCACCCGGCTGGAAGCGCATTCCTCTTTTCCACCACCAATGACACGTTGGATACATGACGTTGTGAAACCCAGGATCAGAAATCATGGCTGGGAGAGCTGATCAGGTGGGAGGCTGACAAGGCGCTGACCTTTCATGGCCAGGAAAACCAGGACCAGAAACAGAGCAGTTTGACCGCGCCAAGCCATTATTCAGGCAGTCCTCCACACACGACACCGTTCCGCTCTCAGCGCCGCCGGTGGACGGGTCGCCGGCCCAGGACCTTGGTGGCTGGCCCAGGGAGGGGCGCGGGGAGCGACCAGCAGGCTGCCGCCAGCAGCCAGTGCAGGAACTGGAAGACTGCAGACGTCGCAGCGTGGGGAGGGTAGATGTTCCAAACACCCTGCATACGAGGAAGAGAGGGGGGGCGGTGGGAGTCAATGGTGGCTGCCCCGGTTGCCGAGGGGGGGTATGGGACTGCAGCTCCGCTCGAAATAGGGCAACGGAGGGCCATATCGTTGTGCACCAGGAGCCGAGAGTACGTCATGCTGGATGTGGTGCCGTAGGTCACACCACTGACCAATCTCATCTGTAAAGCCCATCAGCTCTAATGCAGTAATCATGCACCCACCTCGATGCAGAGCAGCAGGCCTATGCTTAGTGACTTGGGCAGCCTGGTGCGCAGCAGCAGGTACGGCAGCATGTGGAAGTACCTGGACGATTGGGTTTGGAAGGAGCTGCTGAAGTTCGCAGCACTACAGCATCAGCAGAAACGGGCGCAATGGACATTGGGGACATCTCTTGCTGGTGGATGCAGACCGCAAACAAGCGTAATACACAGCACGGCATGCCGCCTGATGCGCTACTCCCCACTCCCACCCTCTGCAGGAGGAAGGAGATGGCTTCCCCACACTGCTTCATAGTCGCACCAGCTGTAAAACTGGTAGTGCAGGGAGCGTGCCGACAGGATGCCGGCCAGGTTTGCAGTGAACAGAATGTAGAGCATGAAGTCCAACGACATGGGCGACGCCTCGGCCTCCTCCTTGGTGGTCCTGGAGAAGAAACGGCGGAGCGCGGGGCCCACCCCTCCCTCCGCCTGGAACCTGTTTGTTCAAGGAGCAAAGAGGGGGTTGTTTCAGGGAATCGCAGCCAGAATGTGCAGAACCTTGGCCCTTCTCCAAACTGCAAACATCGCTTCGGGATGCAGATCAGGTATGCTGCAGTGCCTCGTCAACGACCCAAACGACGCCCGCCTGCTCTCTTCACTTGCTCGCACTCCCAGGCACTGGTGAGGCTGCAGGTGTCTGATTGTGTCCCTTGCCCTCCTGGACCCAGAGCCATAGCGCATGCGGGCGGGCTCCCCGCCAAACATCTCATCACCACCACTCACCATCTGAACCTGGCAAAGGACCAGAGAAGACGGAGGTGCAGGGCCAGGAGGACCAGCGCAAAGCGGCGGTCAACAAACCAGTCGGCAGGCACGAACTGCCAGTTGACGGACCAGCGCTGCTGGAAGACGCGGGTGAGCTCAAAGGCCCGCCCCAGGTAGGCACGAGGGGCCACGGCGAGGAAAGGTCCTGCCAGCAGGGCCTGGAGCAGGAGACCCGCCGCCAGTCCCCGCAGCACGGGGAGGGGAGAGGCCAGGCGGACCAGCACCGCAAGCACGCCGGGGGCCCAGAGCAGGACATTCATCTTGATGCTGACTGCCGCACTGTACACGAAGATGGCCAGGGTCCACCGACGCGACTGTATTTGGGGGAAAGAGAGGAAAAGGGGGTTGGAGGAGGGGTCTTAGAAGGGGCCAGTGTTTAGCAGGCAGGCGCAATGACGGGGCAGGGAGAGGGGGGGAATTCGAGCCATGGAGTGGTGAAAAGATCAAATGAACACTCCATTAGGAATCAGAGACTGTGAATCGATGTAGCACAGCATGCGTTGGGGAAGAGGGGAGATGCGACAGGTGCAAACAGCTACAGAACTCGTGGACACTGAGGATATACAGCATCACAAAGCATGCCACCCAGCTCGTAGGCACAGCCACATAAGGGACCCCCCAAGAAAGCATCACCTGGAGCAGGAGGGTGGCGGCGTATGCAAGCAGCATGGCCCAGCAGTCATTGAAGAGGCGGAGGAGGAAGATGGAGTGGACGCGGCGCGAGAGGCACAGCAGGCACAGCGTCCAGGGGGGAAGGGCCCTGGACCGGATGTACAGCGCCAGGACGGCGGCCTGGGTCAGCAGGTAGACTCCGAGGAAGATCGCCTGGATGTTTTGTAGAGGGGTAGGGGTGATGTCTGGGTTTGGGTAGTTTTGACAGGCGCTAAGAGGGGTTCCCCCGCTTCCAACATAAAGTCTGGGCTCAGCTGGCACGATCGCCCCACCCAACCACATTCTAGAATAAGCAGGCCCTGTTGCCCCGCCCACTTGAGCCGCCGCGATGCTGCCCCCGGTCAGGGCCTGCAGCGCAGTGAACAAGTACACAAACCCTGCAGGGTAGACAAGCGGCCCGGTATCGCCCTTGAGCTCCTCATAGTTGCGCTCGCCCTGGAGGTGGTGTTCCAATGGAGAAGGATTGGACCATCCATGCGTTGCTTGATCATGGCTTGGAGGGGGTGGGAGGGGTTCCGAGGCGAGCCCTCCGGTTTGTGTCAGCAACCCCATCTCCAATTTTACTTAATACCAGCAGGCAGTACTCCCCTGGGCAAGACCAAATCTACCTTCACAAACCCAGATACTTCTTGCATGTAGGCGATCCAATCAATCTCGGTGTCTGCATGTGTTCATCATGGACCAGGGCTGGTCAAGGGCAGAGTCCACTGGGCACCAGGGGTGGACGCAATGCCGAAATGGCATGCGACCGCCCACGTACATGGAACTCGAGCGATGATGATGTACGATAGCAGCGCATCGCCGATGAGGAGCAGAGTAGCAAAGAGTGCGGCCGCTCGCACATCCCGGGGGTCCTGCAGACGCTTCCACCACGGCGTCGACCGTGCCATGGCGTCCCCGCTAGGAGCCACCCAACACTCGAGACTGCATGCGAGATCACCGTTATTCCATGCGAGTGGGGTGCATTTGCGTATTTCGGGGGAGCATTCCCACACTGACCTTAGACTGGCACAACTTCGATCACTTTTCTCCAAGGCCTCGATCGCGCGCGCATGACCGGTGCTCGAACAGATGCGTCTGAGCATCAGAATCTCACAGAGTGTGGATGCCACGCCTGCTGACGATATACTGCCCCACCTATGCTATTGTAATCTCCCCACTATAGCTGCAAGCTCATAACACTTTCTGCTCCTTGCTTCTCCTGGCCAACATGCGCAGCATTGGGACCCCTTTCTATGCAAAAATTGTGCAGAATTCCAAGTCACACACGTTCAGCTGGTCTTTGCACTGCTCCTGAATGATGAAACACTTCTCACAAATGACGTCTTGGCGCTGCTCTACTCAGCCTTCCACTCTCAGCAGCATTCAGATGTCTCCCTATCCCACAATGCCCCGGAGTCCACACGCATGTGCGCCTGCCGCTGCCGAATCTTGTCAAGAAGGCTCGGCGGTGTTTGGCAGAGGAAGGTGGCATGCTTTGTCGGACCCATACCTGCAGCGTCATGTGTAGGAACGCTCACGTGGGTATCCAGACAGAGATGCAAGGACTGCACAAGTGAAGCTGGAGCAGAAGCCACTGCTTTGTCCCTGCATGATTCTTGTCAGAGCTCAATGCACCATTCCAGCAGCAGTCGAGCCCCAAACGCACCGGATGCAGTGCCGGGCTGAGAGCGCACGACGGGTCGTAGAGTGTACTCTCGATTCCGTATCGCCTGCATCAGCTCATCCTCAATCGCTCGCGGCTGGGCGGTGTTGTCTTGCGGTCTCACATCAGGCTTGACCACACGCAGCTGCCTTGCGGCGGCTTGCAGCTCCTCAGTGGAGATAGGCGGAGCTTTTGCTGTGGTAAGGGGACGCTGCATTCCAGTCTTCTGCTCTGGTGGCTTGGGCACGCCTGGCCCCCTTCGTGATGCCGCTGGCGGTGGCGGCGGCGGTGGCGGTGGTGGTGGCATGGCTGGAGCCTGTGGCGGCCGGGGCAGCACGTGGGCTGATGGCGGCCGGAACACTGCTTGCTGTGACAGACTCGGTTCCTCGCAAGGGACAAGAGCAATGGGCCTCCCAGCGATGATAGAGGATGCTCGCTGCTCCTCTGGTCGCGGCGCATCCCTCCGTTCCTGATTCTTCTGGCTCGTAACAAGAGCTGCCTGCCAAATTTCTGCCTCTCTCGCCAAGCGCCGACCCTCCACAGCAGCAGCATGTGAGGCCAGGTCGCAGGTCTGCTGTGGACCCACCCAATCAGCGGTCGAACCAGGATCCAGAGTGGTGGCAGCACGCAGTAGCCTGTCTTTAAGCTGGGGGACCCTAGCTGGAGGTGCCCATCGGGCTGGCACCTGCGGCAGAGCCAGGATGCTTGCACGCAGGGACTGCCTCTCCGCCGGCCCTCCGACAGGGCACTTGGCTGAATCCTGCCGGGCCTCGTTGAGTGCTGCCCCTCCCTGAACCTTGAATGCCCCTCCCGATAGGGGTAGGCTTGAAGGCTGGCCATGTGCCGCCCGTGCCAGCGGCCCCACAGGGATGTCCAATGCACCACGGTCCCTGCATGCCGCAGGCTGCACGTTTGTGCCTGGGAAGGTGGCCGGTGGAGGCCCAACGCCGTCGCGGCGAGGATATACGGAGTCACTGGATGACTCACGCACAGAAGCCACTGCGAGGGGTCCCCTCCTCGGCCCATGCGCATGCGGCTGCAGATGCTTCGGCAGTGTTGGGAGACCCGGGGCTGCTGTGAGCACTCTGGGCGCCTGGATGGGTGCTGGGCGGCTCAGGGCAGGAAGACCTGCATCAGCCCCGCAAAATTGGCTAGGAGGCGGACCTCCGAACGCCACAGGCAGGGGTTCGGCCCAGGAAGGCCGTATCCGAAGGTGCCTGGGGACGGGGATGTAGCGTGCTGGGGAGGCGTCCCCTGCAGTTGAACAGGGAAGGGCGACCGATTGAGTGGAGGCAGCATGCTGTTAAGAGACGCCTGGAGGTCCTGTATTGCTGGTCCAAATCTGTGCGAGGGCGATGGACCCGAACCCCCACCTGATTCTGATGAAGGAACTGTGCCTGGAGCAGTGTTGTACACCTCCAACCCCCGCCGCATGGGCCCAGTATCTGCAACGCCGAAGGTGCAGCATAGGAGAAGGGCTGTATGCACAACCTGTGGCAGACCAAGGGCATGCATTCCTTGCAACGTGTGACCACCTCTCACCCATGTTCGGAGTATCCACCAAGGACCTCTCCGCTGCTTTCCGCTTCCCGATCCTCTTCCTGTGACCGGCCAAGCTCGAGCGGGATGGAATCTCTAGATGCGAGTGCTCTCTCGACAAATTCACTAAAAGGTGAAAGTCGAGGCTGCAGGTGCAAGTGCACCGGCTGGCGAAAGCTGCTCCTCGCGCTTCCAAAAAATCTTGGAAGGGTGACGCAGGTCGGACATTTGTAAAGTTTTGGAAGCTCCCCCACCCGCGACGCGTCTCGGAGTACTCCAATGATCATCAGCAGTGAACGGTATTATACCTAATCTAAGCTGTCTGCGCAAAGTATTTGAGCGCAAACCTAGGCGTCTGCCTTTCAGTTCCTTACTTACTGCGACGTCAAACTCCGCCACAGCTCCGCAGTGCACATTTTGTCGAGCTACGCCTGCACGACCGTATCCCCTCCTCACATTTCAGTTCCTGGAGTAGGACTGCTGGCAATAGCTTTGCATTGTCTGCGTCGGCCTGCACCCCGGCCACCACCACTTGTGCCAGAGCGTAGCCACCTGGGCACTTGCCGGAGCACTCCCCCAAGGCTGCAAGCATGCGTCTGCTGCGGGCAGCCCCAGCAGTCCTGTTATTTCTCGCCATATCCCTCGCGGCGTCTGCCTCCGCCCAGGTACGCGGGGCCGTCTGGTGTAGCGCCTGGTGTTGCTGGCCATGCGCTGACGACCCATGGTGACGGCACCTGTGCAAAGTGCCCAACCCTTTTCCCTGCCTCTTCAACCCTGCAGACTAACAGCTGCAGTGCACAGGGCCTCTCTGGCTCCTGCAACTCCTGCGTCTGCTGCTGCTATGCCGCGAGTGCAGGCTTCGTCACCTACACGCCATCGGACTCTTGCACCTGCAACCGAGAGGTGGACTCCTCCCGCGTCAACACCACTGTCGTCATCAGGTGCTGGGCGTCGGACATTGCACTGGCCGCGCAGCTGCGGGGCACGAATTCTTGGTGTGCACCCTGGCACAGAGTGTCTGCCAAGCTGGCCCATCATCTGTTCGTCTCAACAACCCTCGCCCCCGCCCACCTTCCACCCCGCGCAGCGTCATGGTCGTCTTTGCTGCCCTGCTGGCGAGCCTCTACTTCTCCGGGTCCCTGTGCGCCATGACGCCCTTTCCACGCAACCAGCGCCTCGTCAGCACCATGCTGCCCCCTCTCACCGCCACACACCACCGGGGTTACTAGACCCCCAGGCTCAACCTCAGACCGTGCTCGGGGCTCAGTCAATGGTAACCGACAACCCATGCGCGCATATATGACTTTGATCCTTTGCACAAGTTTCCCTGCGCACTGCTTGCATCGACATTTCCCCCTTCCCTGCCTGAAAAGCCAGACTCCTCACCAAACCTGCTGTGAAGACGCTCGACGCGGGCAGACTGCGGTGCTTCACTCGGCCTGCATGCACGACAACCCTACACCACTGCCCTTCACAGCGCCAGCGTGGTGTTACACATGCTCGGTGCAGACAGAGAAAGGGGAAGGGCTCCCGACGGGGAGCTCCATCGGTGGATACGCTGGGGTGCACACGTTGACAAAGGAATCGTTCAGACGCTCAAATCCATAAAAAAGGGGCCCGAGCCAACGCAGGCGGTGCCCCAAGCACGCGTGCTTGCTTGCGATAAGGGAGATCGTGGGGGCCTGGCTTTTGCTGCTTTGCGCCACGCCGACGATCGGGCGGGGGCGACGGGTGCACTCCTCGCCACACCCATCGGCACAGCGACAGGACCTCATCTGACACCTCTTCAGGTGGAGAAGATGGAGGGCGCGTCGCGCTTCACGCCCATCACGCTCAGCGCGGTGCCTGCGATGTGGGAGGCGGTGAGCCCCGCCTCCGCCATCTGCTCCGCCTGCGTCCCGTGCTCGATGTAGCGGTCCGGCAGCGTCATGGGCCGGAACTTGAGCTTGCCGTCCAGCAGCCCCTCAAGCGCCAGGAACTGCAGAGTATTGCGATGAAGGTGGTGAGTCTCAAGTCATGTCGCCAGCCGTACAAGGCGCGGAACACAGCATGAGCATACCCGGGCCTCAGCCCTCTACACACCTCGAGAAAGATATGGATTGGTCACGCCTACCCCCCCCCCACCACACACATACACAAAAGCCCCACCTGCATGACGTGGGCGGCAAACCCGCCAATGGAGCCCTCCTCCACCGTGATCATGACAGGGTGCTCGGCGGCCATGCGGCGCACCAGCGCGGTGTCCAGCGGCTTGCAGAAGCGCGCGTCCACGACCGTGGCGCTGACCCCCTGGGCCGCCAGCAGGTCGGCGGCGGCCAGGCAGGCGTTAACGCAGGTGCCGTAGCCCAGTAACGCGACGTCGGCGCCGCCGCGGCGCACGACGCCGCGCCCAACCTCCATTGGCTGGCCCTTGAGGTCGTCGGTCACCCCCGCGGCGGCCAGGTCCACGCCAAGGCCGTTGCCGCGCGGGAAGCGGAAGGCGCTGGGCCGATCGTCGATGGCGGCGGCGGTGGCCACTGCGTGGACCAGCTCCGCCTCGTTGCTGGGCGCCATGACCACCATGTTGGGCAGGCAGGCCAGGTAGGTGACGTCAAAGGCGCCGGCGTGGGTCGCGCCGTCGGCACCCACGTTCCCCGCGCGGTCCAGCGCGAAGCGCACCGGCAGGCTCTGCAGCGACACGTCGTGCACGATCTGGTCGTACCCGCGCTGGAGGAAGGTGGAGTAGATGGCCACAAAGGGCACCAGCCCCTCGGTGGCCAGCCCCGCGGCAAAGGTCACCGCGTGCTGCTCCGCGATGCCCGTGTCGAAGACGCGGTCCGGGAACGCGGCCTCGAAGCGGTTCATGCCCGTGCCGCCGCCCATGGCAGCGTGGATGCCCAGCACGCGCGCGTCGCGCTTGGCCTCCGCCACCAGCGCGTCGGCAAAGTAGTTGGTGTAGCTCTGCGGCCCGCCAGAGCCCTTCTTCTGCTTTCCCGTCAGCGTGTCGTACTGCACCACGCCATGCATGCGGTCCGAGGCCGTCTCAGCAGGGGTGTAGCCCCGCCCCTTCTGCGTCACCACATGCAGCAGCACCGGGCCCACTGTCTCCGTCGCCTTGATCTCTGTTTTTGGAGGTTTTTTACGGGGGGAGATGTTGATGTTGAGAGAAAGTAGTCTCCCTCTGAAGCCTGCCGGCACGCCAGGACCTCAGGGGCCCAAAGTTGCCGCGAAGCTGCCGCCTGATAATCACAGAGCCCAGCCTCCCACAGCCTTGCCACCGTCACACCACACCGCACAGCATTGGGTGGACACACTCCCTTTCCGACTCTGCCCTTTCCTTCCCTTCAACCCGTCTTCAAACCCACCCGACAGCACGTCCACCAGGTCCTGCATGTTGTGCCCGTCCACGGGGCCGATGTAGTAGAAGCCCAGCTCCTCGAACAGGGTGCTGCCGGTGCCGGAGATCATGCCGCGCGCGTACTCGTCGATCTTGGCCGTGGCGTTCTGGATGACGTCGGGCAGCTGCTTGGTGACGCCCTTGGCAATCTCGCGCAGCTCGCGCAGCTGGCGGTTGGCCTGGTGGGTGGTGGATTTTGTGTTGGAGAGTGTGTCAGAATGTGTGATTGGAGGGAGGTGCTGGGGAACACAGGGGTGAGTCGCAGGCATCGCTTGATTGGTCGTCGGTTTGGCCTAGGTACCTGCTCCTTCCCTTGACAAGCAACCACCTTCTTTCCCCCTTCCCACCCTCCATTCACACCCCCCCCCCCCCGCCCACCACACACACACAC